GAGGCATTAACGTTGAATGGTGCCAGCTCAAGCTGCGGCGTCCCCCGAAAAAGTGTGTAAACTTCCGCTGCAACGGCATTTTGTTGCTCAGTGGATTGTGGCCGTATGATGAGGTTGCATATGCGTCCGACTAGGTCCATTGTCTTCTCGTCCTCGAAGGCTTTATGAGAAGTATTGGCATCTGAAGCACGTTGTAACAGAGGCAAGGCGATATCGTTGTAGTAGCTGGACTTTTCTGAGGCTTGTGCCAACTTTGCCTCGCCCTTGTTGAGGGCGTAGAGGATAGCCGAGAGCAATGCGACCACGTACTCAGTAGTCGCGTCCTGCTTTACAGCTACACTGAACTTGTTCTTTAGTCGCAGTAGAACGGTATCGAAAACTTGTTCTTCACCAGCAAGCTTCGCGAAAGCCTCCAATACGGTGAGGTAATCTCTTTGACCATCGGCATCGGTGTCGGGTAATTGTGCGAGAAACGCGGGGAAGGCTTTGTCAACAACTACTTGTGGCTTTTGGTGGGCGATCTCGACGATGCCATTGATCGCAGCCACTTTGACCTCATCTTTGCCATATGGCTCTTCGTGGATGACGATATAGTGTAGGAGCTGGATGATCTCGCTGACATCCTCGTCTCGTAGCAGCTGCCGTGCTTTCGACAATTGCAATAGACCATCTAGGCACACTAGTCGAAACGAGACTTCCTTTGCTGGTGCAGTTCTCAAACCGTCAAGCATGATCTTCAGGGCGTCTTCGCGGAACTTGGCTAAAGCATTGCTCTCAACTTGGTCTCCAGCAGGTCCTATCACACGCCAATCGCCATAGACATCAATGTTTGCCCGGATGAGCTGGACAAGGACTTCCAATAGTCCTCTCCGCTTGGCCATGGTATCTGCGTTCTGAAACAAGAGAAACATGGTGGGTAAGACTCCAGCTAAAAGAATGTTGGTGACCTCTGCTGATACGTTGGCGATGCTCTTCAGTATCCGAGCGGCGGCCTGTGATTGCTTGGTTGGCGCATCTTCAAGGTGTTCGTTACATTCTTTGATGATTGGTCGTAAGTATGCGTTGAGTGGGCCACTCGTGCCTTGAGACAGCGCCTTCGCAATAGCAGCCAATGCTGCCAGTGCTTCCTCGGCGAGATCCTCTTGTTCTACCTTCAAAATTTCAAACTTCAACGCATCCCACAGCGTTATCGAGTAGAGCGAAACCGTGCGTGGGCCGTACTCTGTGACCGACGCGGTAATTGTTTGAAGGACGTCTCGCTTGGTGTTCATTGATGTTGAGTCGAGCTTGTCAAGCAGAGCCGGAAACGCGTAGGGTGCAAAGTCCGCGGTGGATGATATACAGTCCTTTAGACGGTCTTTCAGGTCCTGAGCTGTGATACCGTAGGGATCATCTGGCGGTGGTCGAAACGTGATAGGGAAGTAGTTGAAAACAGCATCAAAGAGTTCCTGGGCGTCCGCGCCAATGTTCCACTCCGTCATAGGTACTTTTAGGATAGAGAAGACTACCATCAGGTTCCGTGGGTCCTTCTCGCCATCGAAGTATGCAATGAAACGTGACATGAAATCCGGTCTAGACTCGTGGTGTTCTCGTAAAGCTTCTCGGTACTTGGCCATGAGAGTATCGACCAGTCGCAGCACGGGATACCGTTCACTCTGCTGCTTGAACTGGCGCAATGGGTGGGTATTCGTGAGTAACGCTTCGATTATGCCAACCACTCGAACATCGTCCCATTTTCCAAGCTCTTCCAAAGCTATGAGTGCTTTCGCGCAGGATCCCAAGCCTTCGCTGTCTTCGGTTCTTGAGAGTGTAAAGTCGCATAGGAGGTTACCTGATAGGTTTGTTAGCTTCCTTGCCACCACAACGCATAATTATAGAATCTAAGTTGCACATGCATCTGCACACAATAGTTCCGATTTCCGGTCCTCAGACACCTGCTATGCTTTCTCAAGAACCATAAGCATGAACCTTGATGGGCTTATCGGCATCGAAGGGCAAGTGCGGCTTGGCATACGGCTTGGTATACGGCTGGATAAAGAGACTCGGTACAAGAGAGCGAACTGAGGAATCGACGTACGCTGCTGGAGAGACCAGCACTTTTTGTGGTGTCGAGGCGAGCACCTCCGCGAGATACGACATGGCTACGCTACTATCAGCATGGATAAAAGCTATCTGTGTTGCAAACTCACTCTTAGAACGCGTGGCGCCATCTTCGCTATTCAAATACTCGCCGAGATCAGTCACGAGGCTGATGAGCTTCAATTGTCCATCTTTGAGTCCTACCAGCTATCAGCGCTCTTCCGTCGCACCATGCCCCGCCAAACTCACGCGTCGCACTCTTCTGTGCAGTCTCGGTCGCCTCCTTCTTGTTCCTGTCATAGTCCAGCAGATACTGCTGAATGTCTGACATTATAACAGCGCGTCTTCGCAAGTAAGTGTTGAATGCGTCGTGAGCACGCGCTTGGGAAAGTTGCGGTGCGATGACGTTACGGGATCGCGGTGGTGCTGATTGGCCGGTATCGGGGAGGTGGGGCAGTCTCAAAAAAGGTTACTTGGAAACGCGGCAGTCGCTTGAATCGAGTTAATTGCGCGGGAGTTGAGCTTCTGGGTGACCTGAAAGACTTTGCATGGCTTGCGGCTGACTATCACAAGTTTCCCCCCCATAAAACACCACCATCACGCCTCTGGTACAGTTCCACATCCCAATCCCAACCGACCAGACTACCCCGCCATGGCCGAAGACAAGCCCAATTGCAAGGTCGTCCTTGCCAACAACATTGCCAAAAGTCTTCTGGAGGAAGTGAGAGATGGCTTGAGCAAGATTGAGCGAAAGCCGCTCCTTGTCGGGTTCCTTTCGAGCTCCGATCCCGCTGCTCGTGTATATGCTGAGTGGACAGGCAAGACGTGTACTGAAAAGTGAGCACACTCGTCGATTCACAACAATACTTGCGCTCTCTGTTATTATTCTCAAGTGATTTGAGGGCTAATCGTAGAGTAGTGGCTTTGCTTTCGACCTCCGCGAAGTCGACCGTGAACTCCTCGAGGACGCCCTCATCGATGCGAACAACGACGACAAGGTAGACGGCATAATTGTCTACTTACCCGATCTTTGGCCAACCGACAAGATCAATACCTCCAACAGATTGTCTCCATCGACAAGGACGTTGAGGGTTTGTCGCATCGCTACATTTTCAACATGTACCAGAACATTCGCTTCTTGGACCCGGCGAACACCAAGAAGAGCATATTGCCATGCACACCGCTGGCCGTAATCAAGATTCTTGAGTACTTGAGGATATACAACACCATTCTCCCATATGGCAACAGGCTGCACGGACGCACAATTACCGTGATCAACAGGAGCGAAGTCGTTGGAAGGCCACTGGCAGCGCTGCTAGCGAACGACGGCGCCTGCGTGTATAGCGTCGACATCAGCGACGTCCAAGAATTCACAAGAGGAGTCGGCCTCCGAAAGCGGAGACACGAAGTCGTCGACAAGCCTGGCTGGACTTTGGACGACTGCTTGCCGCTCAGCGACGTAGTCATCAGTGGAGTACCTGGCGACAAGTACAAGGTCCCACTAGAGAAGATGCGGGACGGGGCTGTATGCATCAACTTTTCCAGCGAGCGCAACTTCACGCCTGAGGTCAAAGAGAAAGCTTCAATATACGTACCTGCCATCGGCAAGGTCACCATTGCGGTACTGTTGAGGAATTTGCTAGTAAGTCTGCAGTCAATCGGCATTAGAACCCGCTAACACGATCGTAGCGTCTTGCGCAAAATCGGATTGATGCTGCTGCTCAGGGTGTACAGCCGACCTCGACAGAGGAGAAGGTCATCCCGTCCACTGCATGAACTACCATTTTCCTCACAAAGTTTCGAGTACTTGCTTGTTTTATACCCAGTAGAAGGCCAAGTTGCCACCCAAAAGTTCATATGAGCCTTGGAATTTCAATGCGATGCTCAACAGCCGGTCGGCTTCCCCACAGAACCTCAGGCAGCAAGAAGCCGCCCATGGTTCGCTACCATACTTCGATCTTAGGAAGCGGACACTTATAACATTACAATCCCTATCCCAAAGCCTCTCTCTGATTTTCTCTCAGTGATCATTTCATATTGTACCACACACCTCAAGCCCATCTCCAACATTTTTCATCACCATCCCAATATGAGCCGTGATCCTCAACTTCGCCCGGCCGTCTCGCCCACAGATCTACTCTCCCCACGCGAAAATCTGCACAGACTCTGCTCCATGCCTTCCGCATCACTCCGATGTCGCCGCGCCCTTGCCATCGCTGAGACAATCATCGAATACACATTCCTCGGCCCCGTATTCCATCTCACATGGCTCACCCTGATCCTCTCTGAGCAGTCCTGGCACTACGTCAAGAATTTGCACAGTAAGTAAATCCCAGCACTTACTCCTTTCTCGAATCATAAATCATGATGTACCAGTTGCTGCCTTCGACATCTTCGATGCCATCGGCACAGTTCTCAATCGCGCTACTAAGAGGGAGGACTTCCCGCGCTTGGCGATTCTGCTGGGTACCACGACTATATTCGTGTGCGCGCCGAGCATCACTGTTCTGATCCTGATGTTCCTCGTGGCATGTGTGCAGAGCGTGCATATCAAGGAACTCGAGGCGCAGAGTGAGGTCCTGAAAGCTAGGTTGGCAGGTAAGGCTGTGTGGCCGGTCGAGGAGGAGTGGGATGTCATTGGGTCCATGGACTAAGCGGAGTCGCTGCAGTCAGAGAGCTTGATTGACGTGTAACAGATGTGGCTGAATGTATTCATGCATTGATATAGTATGTCTGATCGTCTTGTGATGCTGTGAGGCCCTCCAAACCCTCTCATTCCTTCAACACATCCTCGGCGGCGGTAACTCGACACCCGTCGGCGTCCACGGAAAGTCGGTCAAGCTCCTGGATTTGCGGCAACTCGATGCTCGTCAGCACCGTGTCGCACTCTTTGTTGTCTTCGTTGGCCCATACGTCGTCGTCGCTGATCCAGACGCGAGGCGAAGCCGAATCTGACCAAGTCTGAGGACTGAATGGTGTGGTAGTGGTTGATGATGATGGTGGTGGTGAGGGTGAGGGTGAGGGTGAGGGTGAGGGTGAGGGTGAGGGTGAGGGTGAGGGTGAGGGTGAGGGTGAGGGTGAGGGTGAGGGTGAGGGTGAGGGTGAGGGGGACATCTAATACTTCTCCAGATACCGAAGCCCCTCTTGGTAGTACCACAATACCATGGCGTAGTGGTACTCTTCGATGGTGTGGAGTGTGAGGAGGCTAGGGTGAAGAGGTGGGAAGTACTCGCTAAGTCGAAGTCGAAGATGGAAGTGGTGGGTGAGGAGTCTTGGGATGACATGGTTTGTAGTCTTTATATGTTGTAGGATGGAAGAGGGAGGAGTTGATGGTGCAAAGGAGTAGAGGAAGAGAGGCATGCAACATATAGCGTCTCCAAAGGAAGCTGCTCTATTGCGTATGCGGAACAATAGAAATTCTGCGGTGAAGATGAAATGCCAAAACTTTTGCAAGGTGAAGGAGACATCACGGCAGTTCTGTGCGTTAGCGCTCTTGAAATTCGAGGTGAAAGAGAGCCGGCGTAGCTGCTATCGAGTGCAACGACAGATCTGCTTATATTTTGATGCTATACTTGCCGGACAATAGGAGCTGTTGTGTACCTAATTACCGTTGAATAAATCGCTATCAGACTGTTTCATGGGTGAATCTTTTAGCAGCTGAATACACCCAAGAGTAGCAACTCAAAGTAGCCTTGTAATGCTGTGAACCAAGGTTGTATATCGCAAAAGTCTTTAGAGCCCAAAATTAGATGTGTGGTAAGACTTCCGTAGCTACTTGCGTAACACTATGCTACGTCATCCTCCCGTCTCCGCATCGTGCAACCTCAATCCACGGGCAGCAACAATCATCTTAAATGCTACCCAGTCGCAAAACTACAAATTCTCGTTAAACGCATCTTAACCTTCTCACATAATAAATTAGCAACCAACAACTCCACACACCTACACAAAAAATGCCATCAACATTCACACCCGGCAAATCCGTCATCTCCCTAATTGCCCTTATCACCACAATCGCGCCCTACCTCGCAGACTGGAAGTAAGCTGCCCCCAAGCTTCAAGCCCCAAGCCTCTCCTCCGTCTCTCAAGTATATACCTAACCCAGCTAGCGAAACACACATCTACAACCCCAACTGGCCCCCGCACGCACGCTACCACAACGGGCAAACAATGTCAATGGGTCTCTTCACTGGTCTAATTACGCTCTACGTTCTGCATTTCTCACGCTCTACATTTTCGCCGGATGTGCAAATCGCGAATCTGACTTGGATATGCGTGCTGCATACCGTGTACTACGGGTCGAGTCTGAGTGGCATTTTGTACCCTGGGGCGCAGTGGATGGATCCAGAGTTCGGCGAGGGGTCACCGCAACTCTATGGGTTTCCTGTATTGATTGGGATTGTGTGGATAGGATGGGCGCTGGAAAAAGGGAGGATCGCAAGAGTGAGCAGCTTGAAGGAGACGTAGACACAAAATCATGATAGGAAAGGTTCGTCATCATTCAACCAGTTCAAAGCCTGCTCCTACCTAAAGACCGAAACTTCAAATTACCTCCCGGCGCTAGCGTGCAGTGATCAGGCTATCACGTATACAATTACTTTCGTAAAATCATCAAAAGGGCCTCCGGGGTATGTCCATCAACAAAGCAAACACCGAAACAAATCCAAATTGTAAACACCCAACGGTCCTCATCTAGGGTCCTTCAGGTGGCATCGGAACAGGTGCCGATTCTACCTTGATGTCTGGCCCAGCCGTTTCGTATGGTTCAGGCTCAGCTTCAGAAGCAGGGGCAGGCCGCCTTGGTAAGATCCTTTCCCTCTCCCTATCTTCGTAATACGCATACTCCCCACGACTGTTGTACCTCTGCGGGTGAGGACGTTCGTATGGGAGATACTCGTATCGATCGGCATCGTAACGAGCCGGTGGCGGATGGTAGGCGGGTGCGTATGAACCACGTGCATGCCGTGGCTCGCGACGCATAACGACTTCGTATCCGTACTCGTCGATATAGACCGGAGGTGGTCCGCGCGGCTCATCATAACGGAAACGCGGTGGCGAAAAGTGGTGCAAGCGATCTTGAACAGAGACATATTCGCGTGGCGTCGGTCGAGGGTGAAAGCGATCGTCTGGTGACGCATTTTCTACGCTATGATCTCTGGAGTAAGCTGGCTCATAATCATGGTCCGCATTGGGCTGCGGAGTTTCTTGCTGGTCGATCCTGCGACGCTGCTCTTCGTATCTTCGACTCTGCGAGCGACTCATGCTGGGACCACGACCATAAGGTTCATCACGAGCTACGCTCATGTATCGATTAATATTTGGATGGCATCCGCTGCTCATGCGGCCTGTCCCTTCGGCGATGCGGTCCAGGTCTTCTTGAAGGTCCTGCAGACTCTGGCGTCGGGATATGACGACCATGTGGATGGTATTCCTCGTACCTAGAGCCATTAGATACCGTCGAAGGAGGCCTAGGGAGCGGTGCTGGCATTTGTCGAGGTAAAGCTTCTGGGTCCTTCGTGCTTGGAGCGTTTGGTGGCGGAGGCGACGTAAAACGTACACCTTCGGAGCTCTCCACGGCGGGAGTTTGTGGTCCTGTCTCGGGATGTTGCGCAGAGGGCGGCCGGGGAGCTTCATTTGTCGAAGCTTGACCAGGGACAAAGTCTTCCAGGAATCGATCCGCTGCGGATTTGCCTCTTCCTGAAAGCACTGTCTCGCTGTTGTGGTTCCCTGGCATACCGTCTTTCTAGTTGAGCATCGTCCTCTCCATAGTATCGCGCTTGTCGAGGATACGCGCCATATTCTCGACCATGGCTCCCTTCGCGCGGTTGCGCGTAGATGATTTCGTCTGGAGGCGGACCATACAGTCGCTCATACTCTCGGAAAGCTGTACGGCGTCCAGTGTACTCCCCATAGGCTGGGCCTGTATGCACGATCCTGGGGCTTGGAGCATGATCCACATAATCTCGTGAACGATGATGGTAATCGTCATCCACATCGTCCCTTGCCATCTGACGGACGCGGCCATTAGCTTTGACGTTGCATTGAGATTTGCCAGATTAAGTACTTACATAGTAGCGCGGATTCAGCATACACGCGCTGTCTACGATCGCTGGGCGGGCTGTCTCGATGAGAGTGTTGCCTTCGTGTGGAGCTTGCAAAGTTAGCGACTTGTGCTGGCAATAGCAGATGTGGGGGTGCATACTCATCCTCTACTGGGCGTGGTATCGCTGGCGACTCTCTTTGAGCGGATGCACGGGATGATGGGCCCGACTTGGTAGGAGCGTCGCTAGTCGACCCATTGACCGTTGTAGCATCTTTCGTCCCAGTCAAAGGCGGCGAAATAAGACCGTTACCATTGCTGTCAATTACCCCGATTTTCGGCAGTGGCATGGGAAATAAGCTTGGAAAGACAGTTGCTATCATGAGTAGCTTCTCATCATCCATTCCGGGTGCGTGCATGAGGCCCGAGATGAAACGTTCACCTGGAAGTTCGATCATGTCCTCTTTCCAATCAGAAGTGTGGGTCTGCTGTCCATAACCTGTGTTGTAGGGCAGGGGGGTCAGGTGCTGCGTTCTGAAATGCAACAGCAAATTCAGTGCAGTGTACGTCTTTCTCTCTGCCGGTTTGGCATAGTAGGCACCGGTCAGTTGGTGAGTGGCTCCCACCTGACATGCCTTACAGGAAAGGCCAGGAGCAAGCTTAAGGCCTTTGGGGGTCTCGTGATTGGAGAAAGCATCGATAAAGTGATTCAGGTTCGGTTCATAATTGAACTCAACATGGAACTTTGAAATGACACGATGTAGCAAAACGTAGATCCGGAGGCTGTTTGGCATGTCCTTGACTCCGGATGTAGCCTTCCATATGTCCTGACTGGTTTCGATGACAGTACTTACTTGCTTGTCAAACAGACTAGTGCTGTGACCAGCATCTTCGGCGTTATTTGGGTTGAGATCTGGGACGACGTGTCCAGGTGGGGGCATAGCTGGCGGTGGCGCTATACCAGGATTGACCATAGCGGGCGATGGCATGTACGAATTGGATCCTACTTGGTTAACATACCCCGGAGGTCCCATAGCTGCGAATCCATAATGATCCACTGGAGTGCCAAATTGTTGACTGTAGTCGTATCCAGCGATCGGGGCGCCAGGGGTCTGCGGCGGATGAAATGGACCATTGTAGTTACCTCCATAATACGGACCCGGGCTGGCCTGCGGCATGTGGGTTGGCATGTGTGGAGTAGCCGTTCCAGCACGGGAGTAACCGCCAAAGTGGCCGGTGTAGCCTGGACCATTGGAAACATGGGGATGATGGAAGGCTTGGACAGATACAGGATCCGGATGGAATGGAGTTTCCTCTGGCCACTCTGCTTCTCTCCAAAGCCACCACTACGTTACCACTGCTAAAAAGCATGAGTGTGTTTGGCACCGAAATGCTGCACAACACCTTCAAAAACCATAGGGCCTTGCACTGCTTTCGCAGTCCTGCCCATTACAGAAGAAAAGATCCTTGCGAAACTGTTCAGTCAGTGGCTTGATCTTATTATCATAGACCCATTTCATGTTCTCTAAGACAAGCTTAGGCTTGGCGGCTGCATCATCAGTGGGGATCGTGGTGTGCTGGCGGCGTAACAAAGTCTGCAGTCGAAGTCTCGTTGAATCTGCGTCGAACGTGTGTAAGGAGGTCGGCCGCAAACTTTGGGCAGTTGTCAAAGGTAAGAGCTTTGCCCTGGTCCCAGTCCTGATGGATGAAGTCGTCCGCTATGGCGCTGAGCCTGTCGCGGATTGGTCGTTGTGATTCTTCCCACTCCCGGTCCATGGCCTCCTTCGCTTCTTTGGAGTTGGCATCCGTAAAGCGGCGCTCTGCAGGTTTTGTGGAAAGCGAAGCCGCGTGTGACACGTGGTTAGCCTCTGCCTGTTGGGCAGCAGGAAGTTGGGCCAGTAAGCGAGGCTGCAGCACACTCCAGGCGTAGTCGTTCATTGGCTGCGAGATCTGTATAGCTGCCTTGAAGGAATCCATGTGTCGCAAAATGTTTGGAGGAATGGGAGGGCTCATATGCTGGCACCGCCGCTCAATGTCTGTCTTCCGGCTGGCCTTGGCTTCGTTCGCATCGTGAAGGTTTCTTTGGTGCGATGGTTGCGTGCTTCCATTCTGCCCCGGCTGTGGGGTGGAAATCTGTGGTGGAACAGTTGGCGGCCGCGGTTGGGCAAATTGCGAAGATGGAGCTGCAGCAGTTAGAATGGGCAATGAGGTCGTGGCGTTCGCAGGTCTACCGGTGCTGCACTGAACAGGACAGCGAGCAGAGGTATACGTACCGATTGGGACCGGAGTATGGATAATTGGTGACGAGTGTCGCGTTGGGGATCTTGATGGCTCTTCGCGCGAGCCTGCTACAAACGTTGAGGTCACAGAAGGTGCGCGACTCCGTTCTTGATGGTGCCTAGCCTCCCATCTCTCCCAGTTGTCAGCAACCTTCATCCGCTCCCTGCCTTTGGCATCGAGTCCTTTGGACCATTCTTCGGCTGCCGCAGTGCCGAGACTCAGCGCATGGTTGAGCTCATGGGTAATCTCCTCGACATGTATTTTGTAGTAGTATTTGCCAATTTCGACGTCGGGAGGTGTGTTCGCGGACTGCAGAATGTGCGCGGGGATGTAGTTGTGCTCGTTGGTGATGAGTGCAAATGGGAGCGCGGGTCGGAGTGCTGATGCAGCGGAGAAGAGGAGGCTCGTTTCCTGAAGAGTCAGTCGCGATCCATGAGAAGGCAGGTGCAACTCACTGTTTGACATCGCTGCATCAAACACGGTCCGCACACTCTTATGCCAAAGGGCCAGATGGTGCGGACACCGCTGCTGCCGGGCCCTTTCTGCCAGATCTTCTCACCAGGTGAAAACGAATTAGACTTGCCGCAAAACTGGCATCGTGGTGACCACGCCAGCTGCCACATCTGCAGCTCAGTGAAGCCCGGAAATGGCTTCGGCGGTCTAGGAGAAAGTGCATTGCGGGCAGAGGCCCATACAGACTCGGACTTTAGGAGACGCAGACATGCAGAGTCTGGCTTGGATACAGGGACATTATGCACGTCTGTAAGACATGAAAGAAACGATCGGTTGACTTGCATCAACCGACCCAGGTCTGCGAGCGAACAGAAAAGGAAGACATGCTGCCACACGGCTGGTGGGAGCCCAGCGCATGGTCTCAAGGCACTTGAGACGGGAGAGAAAGGAGAAGCCAACCTGCGCTTCTTGTCGTGCGCAGAAGAGTCGTCTTCTGCCTTGCGCTTCGCTGCAGCCACATGACGCTGCGCGGTGTTCGCTGTCATCACGGGCTTTGCCGCGGTTTCATAAAAGTCGGTCGAGGAAGCTACGCTAGACTCGCGCTCCGCCATGGTGACTTGACCCGCCGGCATGCGAAGCTCACGAGAGCCTCACAGCGCTACACGGCAGGCTGCAGACATGGGGAGAGCGGAATGAGGGTCCAGGGCCCAGGGTGCGTGTGGTGGGTGGGAAGGAGCTGCGCGCGAGGCGGAAGGCACGATGCAATCTAGGTGTGTCGCGGGAACAGATGGATGCGCTCGGTGTAAAGTAGTCAGGTCAAGGGTCAGGTCAAGGCGGTAGCTGAAGGACGCAGGAGCTGTCAAGCCTGGCTCAGGCGATGTGAGGTAGTGCAGAGCCAGCTCAGCGAATCACGCGAGTGAGGCCGACGTGCTCGAGGGCCAATCGCCGGGAAGTGCGGTGAGCTAGGGTCATCTTGGCGGATGACGAAGTTGGATTGGGCATTCGTGGCTGCCAGAGGCTGTGCTGCTAACTTCACGTACACATACGAACACGCCCGAGCACTTTGTCAGACAATTAGTGCGTGTATAGAGGGAGCTTTCCACTGCAATTGTCCCCCGTCCCTCTCTTTCCTTCTCTCCTTCTTCCCATCCTCGCCTCCGCCTGTCTGCCGCACATAGCAGCTCCCCCACCCGCACTTCACCATGGCGTCGCTCAACACCTCCAGCAACGGCCCAAACATCACCCGCAGCTACCAGAACGTCGTCAACTCCCCGCCGCCGTCCGGTGCCCAAGCGAGCTCGCCAACATACGGCCAATGGGCTGTCTTTGCCGTAGCTGCCCCACTAGTCAGCGCATTTCAGAGCGACGGAGGCAAAGAGAGCGTATTGAAGGTCCAAAGCACCGGAGGTATGTGCAATCAACACCCGGCGATAGGCTGCCTCCATTGTAGCGACTCTGAGCATCTGCCCAGAGTGCTCTACACTGCCTCGAGGCGGTGTCGGACCCACTCTTGGGCTGAGATGCTCGAGGCCGGCAACTCGGAAGCGCAGTGCTTGGGAGAACAGGAGGCTGACCCAACATAGAGGGAGAACTGATTGACTTGGTCGACGAGTTCTCAGACGGACGCATTCAATTCGCATTTGTCAAGGTCAAGGATCCTAACACATCGCTGCCGAAGAATGTCCTGATCGCCTGGGTAAGCATTGGCGATGCACTACAGATGACGCGGTACTAATGACACATCCAGTGCGGCGAGGGCGTCCCAGAGCGAACAAAGGGCTACTTTGGAAGCCATCTCACAGTCGTCTCTAAGCTTCTGCACGTACGTACAACCACCGCCGATTCCACCACGACCCGCTGACGTTGGCCAGGGCTACCACGTGCAAGTCACCGCACGCTCGGATGCAGACCTCACCCCCGAAAAGATCGTCCAGAAAGTTGCCGATGCCTCGGGCGCAAAGTACGGCGGTGCTGCGGACATTCCCTCCTCAGGCGGTCCGCCTCCCGTCGCCGCAAAGAAACCAGTCTTCACACCCACATCTATTGGAGGAGGAGGCCAGGGCTTCAACCCACTCGGACGACAAAGGGCCCCTGCCGGAAGGGGGGATGAAGACGCCGACGGATGGGGCAGTGATGCACCACAGGTCTCACGGTCGCAGCTGGAAAAGGTCCAGTCTGCATATCAGCCAACGAAGGTCAACATGAGCGTGAGCTTACTTCCAAGAGGGACGAGTCCACCCGCTCGCAGCCATCGACATCGCAGAACGACCGCCCCGAGGTTGTACGAGGTGCTTACCAGCCAGTTGGGAAGGTTGACATTGCCGCTATCAGGGCGCAGGCAAAGGAAAAACAAGACGACCGGCCAACTGTAGTAAAGGGCGCATATGAGCCTATTGGAAAGGTCGACATCGCTGCTATCCGCGCCAAGGCCAATGCTGGGCCTCCGGCATCTGGTCTGTCTCCAGCAGCGACTGGCGCATCCAACAACGACGAGGATGAGAGGCCAAAATCCCTTGCAGAAAGATCATCTGCATTCAGCCAGCAGCCCGAGAGACTCACGAGCCTGCCCAAGCCCAAGGTTGCCAACAAATTTGCTGGTGCAAGCGCGTTCACCGGCACCAAGGCCCCAACGCCCGGTGGCTTTGGAGCAAAGCCAGTGGTCGCGGCGCCGATCGTTGGGGCTGCCAGCAAGACATTTGCGGATGAAGGTGGCAAGACGCCAGCTCAAATCTGGGCCGAGAAGAAAGCTGCTCAGGGCGGAAGTGCGAGCTCTCCAGCTGCTCGGCCATCTCCCATCCAGGATCAAAAGAGTGGTGGTGGCTGGCAGAGTGGTTATGCCGGAAAGTCGTGGGCACCTGTTCAAACTACCAAAACCGGTGCGTCTGTGGCGAGCAATCTCAGCGAGCAACGCACAAGCGGAGAGCCTCAAAGGGAGGAACCGGCCTCGCCAGCAGCAGGTGGTGTCAGTTCATTGAAGGATCGCTTTGTAGGCGGTCCACCCATGGGTGCAGCATCTTCACGCCCTGTACCCGAGCCACGAGGTGCGAGCCCACCACCTCTCGACAACTCCAGTAAGCCTAACGCTGGTGGTCGTGGCGTCCCTATGCCCGGTCTACCCTCGCGACCCAAGGAGCCAGAGTCAGACGACGAAGATGTGCCAGCAGTGCAGCATCAGCGCATGTCCTCGCCCCCACCGCAACGACGCAGCCCTTCTCCTGAGCCTGCAGGCTCTCCTGTGCGTATTGCAATGCCCGTTGGACGTGGAAGGGAACCCGAGGAAATGTCGCCTGCTGAGGAGAAGGCGCCGCCTATGCCGAACCGCTCGCTGGATCACGCTGCCCAGCAAGCGCGCGACTTGTCACCTGAGCCGCGAGTCGAAGCAAAGGATCCCGCTCGTAGTGCTGGCGCCGCTGTTGCGGCTGCGACTTTTGGTGGTGCAGCTGTCGCTGGTGTCGCTGCCGGTGCCGCCCTTGCATCTGGTCACGATGAGAATGGCGACTCTGGAAAGCGTGCCATCATCTCGTACGACTATGAAAAGGCCGAGGACAATGAGGTCGAGCTGCGCGAGGGCGAGTATGTCACCGACATTGACATGGTAGATGAGGATTGGTGGATGGGTACCAACTCCCAGGGCGAGCGCGGTTTATTTCCAGCCAACTATGTGGAATTGGTAGAGGATGATGAGCCATCTGGTGGTGCCGCTGCACCACCTCTACCTTCGCATCCATCAGCTGCAGAACCTGAGCCTGTCGCTGCACCGCCTCAGTCGGCCGGCAGTTCGGGACCAACTGCGACCGCCCTTTACGACTACGAGGCCGCGGAAGATAATGAGATCAGCTTCCCGGAGAATGCAACAATCACAGGAGTTGTAAGTTCCATACTTGGAAAAACTTGTGCCTACGCTAACCCATTTCAAAGGAATTTCCCGATGAGGACTGGTGGCTCGGAAGCTACAACGGAAAGTCTGGTCTCTTCCCTGCTAACTACGTTCAGCTGGACGAATAAGAAAATTGCTCCTCTCTCGTTGTAAGCTATCAATGATAGCGGGCTGGATTTATCTCATCTGAGAACACAGGAGCGGATAGTAGCTCTACTTCTCAAGTCTGGGTAGACTAGTATAGGTCCAAAAGTTAGAAAACAAAAATTTTGAGCCCCATTTCCGAATTGACACGTAGGCTAACCGACCTGTTACCGCGGTATGGGCGTCTGATTTGCTGATCGTAGTACTAATCATAATATTCTAGCTGCGAACCATGGTTCTGTCGCCTGCCATACCATGGAAGAAGCTTATCAGTCGAGCAGCCTCCAACTCGAATCGGTGGGAAATCAAACCAATGCTACCATGGATGCAATTGTGTAGAACGTGAAAAATTTACTGGATTTTACGAACTCACCTGGTGATATATATAAATTGCTCCTGTGCTCTGTCTCTCTCCCTATTCATCAAATCCACATACAGCATCCTGGACACCCCCAGGGCCATCTTACGATACACTTGAAGCCTAACAACAGTTTGAAGCTATTCAGCCTACACTCTAGCCCATCACTGCCAAGTTCAGACATTCCAGAATCAGCACATGTCATCCTAAGCACCTTCAGTAAGTTTACTTTCTCCACCCTATATCCAATGCTTTACTGAAGACATCTAGTCCTCGCCAACGCCATGGACTCACTCATCCAAGAGAATATCTCCCTGAAGGCCGAAATCGCACGTCTGAACTCCAGCATATCAGCAAAAGACGCCGACGGCCTCGACCTCGCCCTTCAAATCCGCTTCAAAGCGCACGAACTCGCTACCATGACCAAAACCATCGCCATGCAGCGCGCACTCCTTGCCTCTCAAGATCAAGAGAAGGACACATTGAAGGCATGGCTCGAATCCGCTTCGTGCCAGAGCGCCTGTCATGAAGGGTCGTATAACAAACTGCGCGCTGCTATGGCGAGGAGGGTCCAGGCTGATGGTGAGAGGATTGCGAAGTTGGAGACGGAGGTGGGGGATTGGCAGGATACATGGATGGAGGAACGGTGTCAGTATGAAGACCTGCTTGAGGGGTTAGGCGTATGGTAGGGGAGGGTGAGGGGGGTCTAGAGGCTTTTGAGGGTTCGGAGGAGTGGGTTCAGGTTAGGCATGGGGAGTGAGGTGGTGGGGAAATGGGGCTTCTAGGTTTTACGGAAATGGTACAGCGGGGAGATGGGGTGCTGGTGACTGTTGTGACACACTACAGGTAGATGATAGACTATATTCACGACGATTGGATGAAGTATTGAAGGCTTTGTCATCAGCAAGATCAAGGAGAATTTCCACGTCCTCGCCTTACATTACAGTTTATGTAAAGCCTAGCATAGAAAAATTTGACCAACCATGAACAACCTTCATGTTCATTCTCTACATTCGCGAGTCATCTGGTCTCCACTATCCCCACACCAAACCACAGCCCAAAAAAATCCAAAAACATACAACAGAGGAGATTCGCTAATGGTCACCCACTTAACTACTAACCCTCCGGTACGTTGCTTAAATATGGCTGAGCGAACGGGAAGCCTTGTTGTCAACGTCCTATGGTCGTATGTGGAAGAGGTGGTAGTGGGTAGGGTTTATATCTAGAGTGACGACAAGGCACAGAACGCGCAATTGACGGCAGGGCTGATCAAAACCCGGCTATTAGAAGCTGCAAAGCTAGTGAAATGCTACCTGACCGCCGCAATGCGTAGATTATTGGCACAGGTTTAATGTTCTTTAGATATAGCATTGTGCTAGCAGGTTCCGTCTTTGTTTCTTTGTCGTTCAGAAAATACGAACGAAACTACTTAGCGAATGACAATAAAAGCTTTGCCGACTTCTTGGTCTTACTGCTACAGTTATTCTGTCTCTTTGTAAAGGAACTTTGGTGTTGAAAGCGAGGACGTGTGTTCAGATTCTTGCTTTACGATCTGCTCACTTTCGTAGTATAAGAGCCTCATGCTACTCGTCGGTTATCTAAACACAACTTCATCATTTAAATTTTCGTCTATCATGGTTTTATTTACAACCGCCTTTCTGGCCTGGGTAGCCTCAGCCAGTGGTCAATCCATCTCAACTGGCACGTCTGCTTCACGTAGTGGGTCTATCCTTCCAAGAAACACTGCGGCCACAAATGCTTTCAATTCGTCAAAATCAACTTATCCGTTGCCCAATTTATCGGCAGCAGTTGTGGTGTATGGTAACATACCACGGCCACTTCAAGTGCCCAGTGCTTGGAATGCCTCCAACAAAGTTGTCGCTAGGGTTTGCAGTGCATAATCATGCGTCAACTTTTCGGAATTTGCCCTCCAAGGCTTTTGTTATCCAGTTTTCGGCATTCTGTAAGATATTCCAGATCCTTTCCAGCCCTTATGTTTATGATGTCTGTTTCAGCTAACATGATGTGAAGATCAGCATCCATCGTCAATATCACAGCCTGGTGGTGTGCACGCTTAGGTCTCTCAAAGTATGTTGATGGAATCCGAAAACACTACCCTAGTCAAGAGCACTGATTATGTCTCGATATAGTGATAACAATTGCAAGATATCTGAGGAGGTGGTATTCGGAATCAGGCGTGAAGATTACTGGTCTTTGCAAGCAGAGTCTGGAGGAATCATTTCCGCAAAGACACCGAATTCATCTGTGTTTGTACCAGATGCGAATAGGTTGTTCCCTTTCAAGACTAATGGCACAGGTCCGTTGACTGCAGGAATTGGGAGGTTTGTTATGGGCATAACAGTTGATTACTTCAGCTTCAATGGCACACCTAATTTCGCTCAGTTGTTAAAGGATACCTGAGTAGATCATAAAGTAATTTACAGCTTATAAGCTCCAAAGATTTCGGGTGCATGAGCTGTCAGCTGCGGCATTGAACTATTTTGGAATATCACAGTAAGGGCTCATGGGCCCCAGATTCGGAGCGCTGGATTCAGTCGAAGTCCAAATGCAACTTTGATGATGCAGGGTTTGATGCGACTTTCTAACCCTTCATTATGTATTCTCCATCGTGAGCCGTCCGAAGATCAGAAAAAAGGCATCAAGGTCGGTAGGCTGTCGCCCTTCACCTAAGATTGAAGCCCAATCAGCAAATCTCCCATAGCTTCAGACCCGGCCCGATATCGTGAATCGATTACATGCTTCTGCCTGCATCTCCGCATATTGGGGGAAATAGGCAGTCCCCACTAGCATTTCTAGCAAGGCTATTTCGGTCCGACTGAAGCCCTTAGTGTTCCGTGCCGCATACTGTTAGAAACTTTACACTGTGCCGCACAGAACTTTACAGATGCTGGCTACAATGATCAGCTGCATACGAGAAGTACGCATGGTATGTCACTCTGCGGCTGGAGTGCCGGTCCATGTAGCAGCATACGCTAGTTCCTGTTACTTCAATGATTTTAGGGCTTATGGTTGGACCCTTACATTCATTCGAGAGTCGAGAGTCGCATGCGATGAGATAGTTTGATCAGAGCGTTGTGCCAAGGCTGAATACTTGTACTTCCCAAGGTCGCAGAATGCATTACAACCTTGGAAAGGTACCAACGTTATCGACGAAACAAAAAGCTGGTGTTGTGGGCGAGCATTACAAATTGTGTAGCGTCAAGTTGATGTCTCTATGCTCTGATGTTCATAGCAGCCGAATATGATGTTTGTGCCCCGCAAATGAACGAAAATCGAATTTGACAGCCCCTAAGCACAACAACACTCATCACATGTTTCAGCATCACCACCACAACACCAAAAAGTAATAGCAGCTTAACGCAAGTAGTATCAAACTGCAAAAATTGACTCAAGGGAGGCTCGAACTCCCGACCTTCAGTGTGTTAGACTGACGTGATAACCAACTACACCATCGAGCCAGATCTGATTTGATGACATAATCTGGGTTTAGTTGGAATATATTGACCAAGGACAGCTACAGACATCGCTTTCGTAGTCGCGATGCAGGCGTATTGGTGTTGACTGTCATTTATTTTGCTTCCAGCGAGTCGTGGCCCACTTGGTGCTGCAAAATTCTCTCGTGTGGAATTTGACTCTTAGTCTCGAACTTCAATACTTCGGCATGGGCGTTTGATAAGGAATTCGTTTCTACGCAACGTATACAACGGAGACCACGTCAGTATTTTCGAACGATATCTCTCTTCGAATGATTCGGAATCCCTGTCTCTTTCTTTTCTCGTGAACAACTTTTCAGATGCAAGCAGAAGTCCTGGAAGTTCTGTCAACGTTTGGTATGGTCTCACAGAATTGTCGAATGTATATCGCGAGCTTCGAGTCTGAATGGGCGTTCGGCAAAGATGACAAGCTTGCACATTTGTACGATTCGAGTCGAGCGCAGATTGCTTCTGTGTGCAGCTGTGGTCTTCAGTCGTTGCTGCAACCTGAGCATACAACAACACTTAGCTGACAACATCGATCACTGTGTATCCACTCGCCTTACGATATTCTCTAGAACCGCCAAGATCTCTTGAATCCTGGGTCAGAAGGTTTTAGCATAAATTATGAAAGTAGGGAGGGCTGATCCATGACCCAGAATCTTCCGAAGTTCCTGGGTGGCCATCGCTTGTGCAGGTCGGTCTCGATTATGATTCAACATAGATGCATAGAGCTCATTACAGGTCTAAAATGAACTTTGATCGGATCTGCTCAGATTTCCGAAGTTCTCTTGAGAGCATGACAACGTTGAGTAGGAAGGTGACCCTGGGATCAATTCGATTCGGCGTACGTTCGATTCGTATCCAAAGGTCGTGGCCTGAAGATGCGGGGAGCTGATCATGGCGATGCTTGGCCATTACTTTTAGTATATCTCGGTTCCAGACTGTGCCCAATACCTACCTCTGTCTACGGGTCTGTCAGCTCCAGAGCACGGTCATGTCAGGAGTGCTTGATTGACTCAAACATCGTCAATGAACTAGCCGTATGGAAGGCAGCGGGTTTTGGGCATGGTACACAAACCACCTTCGTGATTGCTGAACATCTGTGCACCCAACAACCACATGCAGGATATCTACACCCATAAGTGCCGGCTTCTTAGGTCTTTGACAGATCTTTGCCAAGATCGCTTGGCCTCTAACCTTATTTCGACTTGACATCATCACCACTTACAACACAAGCGCATTCCTCAACTCGCTTGATGTTGCCAGAAAGACAAAGACGGGAAGGACTCGTGACCTTGGAGAAAGCGCCCGCAATGTGGATACCACGCGACAGAGACCAAGTTACACGGCGGAGTTGCCCCCTGACATCACCACATGTGCGACGCGCTGAAGGACCTGTGCCGCTTGCAGCCTCGCCAGCCACCCAATAACTCGAAAATCTCAAGCTCTTCCATCAAGCACGCATGGCACATCCTTCTATGGCACGATTTGACATCTAGGGAGTTCTTGGATCACAGCGTCCATCGTAGCGCGCCCGCACTCTTGGACCTGGACGTTCTCACCGCGAACTCGGCAGCATGGACCACAGCATCACCAGGCCTGCAATGGCTAGCGAGGGCGAAAATCTCTCCGGTATTTGTCCCAGCGTCAGCCATCTGAAGCCAAGCTAGCTTAGCCGACCTATTCTGGTTGGTCGAGACTGCACTAGAAGAGACAAGCCCGTCCATTGAGAGCTTGTTGAGCCTCCGGGATGTCGCATGGGAGCTAATGCACCCCGCCGCGCATCGTATGCTTGGGTCCAACTGGAGGCCAGAAGCAAAATTTCTGCTGGCACCATTTTCGTGTTCAAGATTGTCAATGTCCGCCCATGCCACACGGACTGTAATATGGTCACAGCAACAACGCCGCTCTCCGACATGCTGCACTAAATACGGCATCCCAGGATACTAAGATCTTCTGACAAAACATTTTTGAGCTTTGTGGGGTTGAGGTCGACGCCAGCACACGTGACAGTGTGGTCGCACTTTCGAGGCTGAGCGGCGTGCTGAAACAATCATGTCCGCCAGGTGATCATCCTAATGCAGCGAGAGATCGCATGCAGCCCCTTGGCATGACGAGCGCGAGAGGATCAACATTGAGATGCTACATGCAGCAAATCAACTTCCGCGTGCTGGTGGCGTTCATTGTTCTTTGACTGATGAACAGTGTGCCGTCCCCGCAAAGCCATGCGCATGATCTCCGACATAAGGTCAATGTTCACCGATGACAATGCAACGGCGCTAGAGAGCTTAGCAGCCTATCAGAACCATTCGAGAACGCCTTTTTGCAGCCTCGGCTTGCCCAAGCTGCGCCACTACAATCATGCTGCACGGGGATTCCGAGTTTCCTAATCCTTCGTGTTGGACGAGCAGACAGATTCTGTGCTTGCTTGGAAACTAATTTGCAAGCTAAGGTCCGGGAGCGGGCTCGAAGCACTGCTTACGCATGCAGAGCAGAAGATAGTGCACCAGCAAGGATTCCAATCGTGCCTTCGAGATGCATGACTGGCGTCCATCTGGTGCGCCGAGGCTTCAAACTAAGCGTTCAAGAGCCAAAGCTAAGATCTACGCTACGACGGTGCTATCGGACCATCCTGCATGAACCAATAATGGCTCTAGCGCCAATTCTCCACGCTCCAGCCCCGGACTAGACACACGCTTCTGGGACAACAGGTCGGGGTCCATGTCGGGGTGCGCGTGTGACAGTTCACGTACTTAAGGGAAGGTTGACCCGTGCCAAAATCCTCATCCAGTCTTGAGTATCAACAGCAACTCAGAGGACCTCACTCGATCTCTTCCCTTTCATACAACCTTTCTGAAGAGGTTATTTCATCATGGGTCTGATGCTGAAGAAGCCCGAGGGGAGTGCCGGAAGCGCATTCCCTGCCATTCTGGTCGGTTTGTTCGTCGCCTTTGGCGGTGTCCTTTTCGGGTATGTATGTTCTTCTGTTTAGTGCAACAAGCAATTGACTTTCCATTAGATATGATACTGGTACCATTGGTGGCATCCTGGGCATGACCTACTGGAAGGATACCTTCAGTACCGGTTATCGCAACGAGAAAAACGAGCTCGATGTTGACGCCTCCCAATCTTCTTTGATCGTCTCCATCCTCTCCGCTGGTACATTCTTCGGTGCTCTTACCGCTGCACCTGCAGCTGATTTCCTTGGTCGTCGTCTCGGTCTCGTTGCTTGCAACGTTGTCTTCTGCGTTGGTGTCATCTTGCAGACCATCGCTACCGACATTCCTGTATTCGTTGCTGGTCGCTTCTTCGCTGGATACGGTGTTGGCATGATCAGTGCAACCATCCCCCTCTACCAGTCTGAGACCGCGCCCAAGTGGATTCGTGGTGTCATTGTTGGTGCCTACCAGCTTGCTATCACTATTGGTATCCTCCTTGCCAACATCGTCAACAACGCTACTAAGGACCGCAGCGATACCGGATCATACCGTATTCCTATTGCAGTACAGTTCGCATGGGCTATAATCTTGTTCGTCGGTTGCATCTTCCTCCCAGAGACCCCTCGTTGGTACATCAAGAAGGGCAAGCCAGAGGCCGCCGCCAAGTCGCTGTCCACCCTTCGTCGTCTCGATATCGACCACCCAGCCGTTGTCGAGGAGCTTGCCGAGATCACTGCCAACCACGAGTACGAGCTCTCGCTCGGCAAGTCCACGTACCTCGACTGCTTCAAGGGCAACCTTGGCAAGCGTCTGGCGACTGGTTGCTTGCTCCAGGCCCTCCAGCAGCTTACTGGTGTCAACTTCATCTTCTACTATGGTACCTCCTTCTTCCAGCGTGCTGGTTTCAAGAACCCCTTCATCATTTCTATGATCACATCATCCGTTAACGTCGCCTCCACCTTCCCTGGTCTTTACCTTGTTGAGAAGTGGGGTCGTCGCAACCTTCTCCTCTTCGGCGCTGTCGGCATGGCTGTCTGCCAGTTCATCGTTGCCATTACTGGTACCGTTGCTGGTGTTGAGAACCAGGCTGCACAGAACGCGCTCGTCGCATTCGTCTGCATCTACATCTTCTTCTTCGCCTGCTCTTGGGGCCCAGTCGCCTGGGTCGTTACTGGCGAGATCTTCCCCCTCAAGGTCCGCGCCAAGTCCCTCTCCATGACCAGTAAGTTATCCCTACATTGACCATTTGAGACTATACTAACCACCGCAACAGCCGCCTCCAACTGGCTTCTTAACTTCGCCATTGGGTACGCCACTCCCTACATGGTCAATGACGGCCCTGGCAATGCCAACCTCGGAGCCAAGGTCTTCTTCGTGTGGGGCGGATTCTGCTTCATCTGCGGATTCTTCGTCTGGGCCCTGATCTACGAGACCAAGGGTCTGTCTCTTGAGCAAGTTGACGAGCTTTACGGCAAGGTCAGCAAGGCCTGGAAGTCTCAGGGCTTTGTTCCCACCGTCTCTTTCCAGGATGTTCAGGATATCCAGGGTGACAACCGCCGCAAGAGCTTGACCGACGTCGAGGCTGAGGCTTCCCGCAAGAGAAGCGCTCAGTACACCGAGGGCTTCAACGAGAAGTCTACTGTGTAAATCTCTTCAATAGGGAGCAGGTGGATATGCAATTAGAGGGTTGATGGCTGGTGTTAATACCCATGGGTACGAGTGCGAGTGGAAGGTGTCGCGAGAGCACTTTCGTGTAAATATCGTGAATGAATTATGATTTTCTCAACTACATTTCTGTACCCACTGCTACTACACCACAACCCACGAGAGATAGGTTCTACAAACACCATGCCGCACCCCGAGCCACCCGAACTCAACGTCGAAGCCAATTTCCACACCTACACAGACCCCTCACGATCATCCAGAACATCCTCAACGATTTTCCTAGATCATCATCTCCACAGCAAAACCTGACGACTATGACCCGCTAGCGCCATCGCCCAGGATCTGGTTGCGGGACGCAAGACCCCTTCCCTTCCCCAGGTTCTCGCCAACGTCTTAGCGCACTACTGCGGAGGTGCTCCGACAGGTGTCCAGCAACAGCCGCGCACGATCTACCGGGGCTGGATCGATGTTCGCGGCATCTTCAGGCGAGGGGTAGACGCTAAGAGACGGATAAGGTTGCTGGTCGTGTAGGAGAAGTGTTTGAAGCGTCAGGTCGTGGAGGTCACATGTACAGCCCCTGTAGTAGTATTCGTAGGTGACGATTGCAACCGTCACTCGTTAGTTCTATCGAATGCCTGCTGCACACCTTCTGGGTCTTGCTTCTTGCCGTGTCTACAGGTCCACATCATTCCTTGTGGCGATCGTGTGCGTTACTGGAGCCAAGTGAAGCTCTAGCGTGTCCGAGAGTCTTGCCATGAACGAAGATCTTGTCAAGCCGTGAAGACCTTGGTCGCATTCGCCCGCTTAGGTAACGCGTGCATAGCTTTATAGTATAGACATGCGATTATGTGGAGTCCGCAGATCCACCACCCGTTGATGATGCGACAATTGCGTCTATGAATGTGAGCGAATGTGTCATAGGTTATTATGACGGATTACTTCAAACCGGAAGCTCGCTTACGTTCCGACTCGTGGGTAGCTCATGAGCACGTCTGTCCGTGCTTGACTCTCCGTGGACAAGTTCCTGCTGTGTGCCCATGGTGTCTTCCAGCTCGGGTTCGCCCCATGAAATATTCTCTTCGTGTCCATTCGTCCCAGTTCTGAGCATTTTGAACGGTAGTCCAGATATTCTTCCGATAACAATTCGGAGGATGAGTGAAACCAGTAAAAGGCCACCAAGAGCACTGCAAGTGCAATACCCATGATACCGCTTCTGCGCGACGGCGAAGGAGACGATGAAGGCATCGAGTTCGAAGTCGCGGTGGCGATAGGCGTGTTCGTGGAAGTAGCGCTTAGAGCGAAAGACGTCAATTCCAATGTTGTAGCTGCATTATCAGTGCGGCAACATCTGCTGGACCCTTGACAAGTATAACCCGGACGACAGACAGCATTGCTCGCCACACTTTCTTACATATACGTCTCCCCAACATGCACCTGGCTTTCCGGATGTAGGGTCGCATTGTACTGACTCGGATCGCAGGTAATGGTTTTGATCAAAGCGCAATTTGACCCACCAGGACAACTGGTTGTGGCATACGAACGAGATGTATCGTTTCCAAGGAGAACTGTGTGACAATAGCTCCTCCGAGGACAACAATGTTCTGAGGGGAAAGATGGCCCGCATGGGCGCAAGTCTTCATGACCAGAGCAGGCCATTTTGAACGAATAATGAAGATAAAAAAGCGCCACAATTAGTAGAACAAAGAGACGAACGAGATAGGAAGAGAACAGAAGCTTCTAAGATTGAGCGAGCTGGGACGTGGCTGTGTTTGACCTTCTCACCCAAGCGATGGACTAGTTGGACAAAGCTTTTGAGTACAAATCCTGTCTTGGCCTGAAACCTGAGTGCACCCTTGGCATGTCAATGGAATTGATTCATTCATTCCTCAGCGTCGTCCATTTCGGCATCACCGTCTTCGCCTTCCTCTTGCTCGCCCCACCATAGCGTCGGGCCTAAGCCTGCCTGATTCATCGAGCCCTGCGGATAATGAGCATGATTTCTGTCAAATGTAATGACTTCGAAAACTTACGATGACCCGCCAAGCTGTGCCTCTCTCCTCAATCACGTTCCCCTGCTCATCCTTCTGCACGATCGTCGGCCTCTGATCAAACCACTCTTCTTGCTCGACTCTGAATAGTACGGGCTCGCCCTTGTCCAGAAACAGTTCTGTACCATCTGAATTCCACACCCACACGCCCTCAGCCTGACTAAAGCTCGAATTCTCGAACAAATTCTGATACGGTACAAAGACCTCGGAGGTAAAGTCGAGATCAATGATGATGCCATCTGGACTCGAACTCTTGATACGGCCGTAGATAATCTCGCCACGAAACGGGCGAAACACAGTCATGCGGAATTCAATGTTGACGTTGACGAGACCGGTGCCGTGGCCGATGAGGCCTTCGGTGGCTGTTAAAAGATCCCACATGCAGATGCATAATCCGATACCAGGGACAATCTTGTTCGCATACTTTTCGTTGACGACATCTTTGATAGCTTGTGCGCTGGGCTTGGAGAAGTCCTGCGGTTTGATTTGGATCAGGTCTTGTATTGTGGTCTGGGAAAAGGTTAGTACATAAAAGATCTTCTTGGTAAGACACCAGGTCTTGACCACAAAATACGACTCGAGAAAAGAGAGTATAAATCTCAGCTCTGGAAGGAGCATGTGAAAGAAGTCTTGCCCTCTGCCCGTGACTCCCATACAGCGCACGATGTGATGCGCGAACACTGGGGCAATGCAAGGTTCCAAATCACTACAGCCACGAGACATACTTACGAGAATGAACATGATGGGCTTATAGGAGGCTTCATGAGTGTTCGAGAGAACTGGATATGTCACCGAGGCATCTTGAGAGTGTGGTGGACGCAGAGGTAAAGCTAGCTACAAGAATTATGCATGACTAGCGCCGCGCTAGTGTTATCGATTACAACTTTTGCGGACTCCCGAGACGCGTCTGAACTGCTCCAGAATTTCGCATTCTGTCGCTTTGCTGCACATCGCCCCGGAACTACAAAAGATAGTGATGCATATATATACACCATTATATCCAACACTCGCGACTTAAGAATGTCATCATTCAAGTTCCCACCTCCGCCTCCACCGCCACCGAAAGCTTCCTCCAACGACAATCAGTCCCCGTATCCAAGCCAGAGAGGTGGTAGCAGTAGGGGAAGGGGTGATGGAGGTCGCGGGAGGAGTAGTAATCAACGCGGTGGAGGTGGTAGCTTTGGCGGAGGTCAAAGGGGCGGGCCGGCAAATAACAGCAGAGGGAGCCCACGGGGAGGATATCAGAACAACAGAGGAGGCTCTGCTCAAAGAGGCGGCTCACGACACTGGCAGCAACCAAACCTTCCCATACAGACAAGCACCTCGAATGGGCCGAATTTGGCCAATGGCGCCCACATGAACCCACCAGCGATCGATCCAAACACGTTGGTACAAGCTATGTCGTTCATGGCAACACCTGCTGGGGCCCAGTCAATGGCAGCTTTTGCCAGTCATATGGCCGGCGCTGGGAATGTACCTTTCGCGCAACCACCGTTCCAACAGCAAACACCACAACAATCACCAAGATACGCACCCTCGCAACAGTCCGGGCAGAAGAGGAAATGGGATGAGCGTCAGAATGACCCACATGCACAACACCAGCTGCAACGCAAGCCACAACAGCAAGGACCTAAACCGCCGAGAGCCAAGGCAGCCGTGCCACCAGCTGTACCTGGGTTTGGGTTCACTTTGCCCACACCTTCGTCCGCACCAGTACCATCTAAATCGCACAAGACGGAAGGCAATAGGAAAGGAAAGGTCAGGCTGGGCCTCACAAACCACGATGAAAAGCCAGAGGAGAGCAGCGAAGAAGAGGAAATCGACGAGGAGGCTGCTCTCGGTGAGAAGCTGAAGGGTGGCGGATATGCATTCGAACATGAGGGCGAGCATATTTCGCTACAGACGGCGGCAGATATTGCAGAGTGGATCAAAGATCGAAGAAGAAACTTTCCGACATATCAAAAGGCGGTTGAAAAAGCCCAAGCCAAGGCAGAGAAGCGCAAGAACGAACTAGAGTTTGTTCGCAGACTGAAAGGAAAGCCTCCGCAGCCAGAACCTGAGCGCGCAAGGCCCGTACCCAAGGTTTACGAGCGCAGTCAACGGGATGAGAAGAAACAAGAAGAACTCGCCGCACTGCGTAAGAAGCTGCACGAAAGCATGATGAAAAAGAAGGAAGCCCCCACAACTGTTGACCTGGGACTAGGGTATGGCAGTGCGACAGAGTCAGAGGGCGAAAGTTCGGTGCTTTCGGAATCTTCCGTTGTGTCCAGCTCGGAAGAGCCGTCAGAAGAGTCTGATGATGAGTCGGACGACAGCGACGCACCACCTGAGGCAATATCGTCGAAGATCGCACCGCCGCCCGTCAAAGAAGTACCACCACCTGTACCCGCGCAGACGGAGCGGAAGCCTGGCAGAGGGAAGATGTGTGACAATTGGAGACAACATGGCAAATGTCCATTTGGAGATGGTTGCAGGTACAGACACCCTCCTCCTAAAGAAGAGAAACGACTAGGGCTGTATGAAAAGCTCGTTGAACAAGAGCTGGTCAAGTCGGATCAGCTGGCACTCGATGCGATTAAGTATCTTGGCCAGAATGGGTTCCTCGGTTGAGATGTAATATTTTCGTGTTTGCAGGCATTATACCACTTCCATCTGCTATTCTCCAATAACATATGTACATCCCTCCTTTCCGACCCATACCTCGTGCACTTTGTTTGCATCCACGTCCCACCTACCACCGACGCCCAACGTTTCCTTGGTCGGCTCGGGATCATTCGGGTATGTGTACGTCAAAGAGCCATTGAGTACAAGATGTGTTGTTACGCCACTGTGCTTGTGTGGCGGGTAATGTGCATTTCTAGCACACGTTAAGCAAGTGCAACGATTCAATCAGATGCTCAATACTCACGGCCCATCAGTCCAGGTAAAGACATGGTCGAAGCCCCAAGCACGTACTTCAGTTTCAGCTTCTCTGCGTGACTTTGCCATGTTTGCTACAATGGGTTGTGTGATCTTGGAGCAGGATCGTTATGTCTCGGAGCTATGACATTTGCTGGACCCTGAGTGACGTAACAAGCATGAGGCTTGGCAGGGCAGGCGCACATGTCAGCGCACGCGACGCGCAAGTGGGACCAGCAAACGCCATTTCGTGAACCTTGATTGATGCAATTCATGTCGCGCAGAGGCTCCAAAGCAAGGCCTGTCGGAGGCTGGCATGTTTCGATTGGTCGATCAAACGGTTAGAGCGGCTGCCAAGTTCAGCTGTTGACAGCAACAGCCCACCAACATGACGGGCCGCACCTTCACTACCGTCTAGGTCCCGCCTCACACCTCAACTTTTGGGACTCCCTGCGAATGCTTCTGATTTTGATATTCAGCTAATCCGCAGTGTGTTTGAGTGCATTCAGTCTACATAGTAGCACCAACGGCTGAAGACCCGTTCGAGGATCGAACTGATAGCCGTAAGCTGAGCTGAGCTGTACAGCCCGCAGGCCGCAGGTCGCAGGTCGCAAGCACAGCCAGCTCGTAGAGCAGCCTCGTATCAACCACCGCGCGACATCCGCCCACCTTCGCCATCAGCAAACAACACAGACGACTCAGTCCGCCGTCCAACCAAGTCACCATGTCTCACGGTCTAACAGCCCAGACCAAGGACCACAAGCTCGGAGCCCCGAAGATCGATGAACCGCAGCTCCAGGCAGGTGGAGGGACAGCTTCGAGCTACGATAAAGCCCGCATCGTTGACAAGCTCTCCAAGCCCTTCACCGAGTACTTACAGGTCCTGCACGACGAGCTCGAAAAGCAGTACAAACTGGGAACACCAGAGGGTCAAGCACGCTGGCTCACAGACGAGCAACAATGTTCAGCAGATGACGCGAAACTGCTCCAGGGCGGTTCAATCACGGCCTTCCACGACTATTTCCTCTCTGGGTCCGCCAATGCTATGAAGCCAGCAGAACCCGTCGACGAATCGTACCCCATCTCCAACTACTTCATCTCCTCGAGCCACAACACATACCTCACTGGCAATCAGTTGTCTAGCGAGTCGAGCACGGATGCGTACAAGAACGTACTCATGCGAGGTTGTCGCTGTGTCGAAATCGATGTCTGGGATGGCGAGCCGCCCTCAGACTCCAGCTCCGATGAAGAGGAGATGCAAAAGTACGGTGCCCCAAAAGTCGAGAAGAAAAACAAGGACAAGAAGGAGAAATTGAGTCTGCGCAAGCGTCTCGAACTTCGATTTGGTCGAAAAGGCGCTTCTGAGGAAAAGGAGCGGTCGCTATCGCCCTCTGGCAAAGGAGAGGAGAAGGTCGAACCGTGGAGATCAGATTCCTACGCGTACAGAGCCGAGCCTAGAGTACTACACGGGTACACCCTGACCAAGGATCTGCCATTCCGAGCAGTATGCGCTACGATTCGTGATTACGCATTCAAGACCTCCAACCTGCCGCTCATCGTCAGTCTCGAGGTGCACACCTGCCCCGAGCAACAGGAGATCATGGTTGAGCTGATGAACGAATACTGGAAGGGTCTCCTTGTTGATCTACCCATAGATCCTTCTCAACCCTCGGAGAGTGTCAATCTGCCCGTGTTGAAGGATCTAGAGAGGAAGATTGTGGTCAAAGTAAAGCGTTCTTCTCACCTCAAGCCGCCTCCAGCGGCCACATCACAGCCAACTACTTTGCAAGCACCGGCGCCTCCTCTCCAGCATACCAAAAGCGCCGAGTCGGTTGCATCATCGAACACTACTGAAGACGAAACACCAGAAGGAGAGAAGCCGGCGCCAAAGCCCAAGGTCATCGAGACGTTGTCTAAGTTAGGCGTATATTTTGGTGGCTACCATTTCAAGGGTCTCGACACACCTGAAGCTTCCATACCCACACATGTGTTCTCGTTGTCTGAGAAGGCATTGATGGAAGTACATGAGACGAACCCCGCGGGGTTGTTCAACCACAACAAACATTTCTTCATGCGCGCATATCCCAAAGGCCTGCGTCTCAACTCATCGAACTTGAACCCGTCCGTCTTCTGGCGCGCTGGTGTACAAATCGTCGCACTCAACTGGCAGCGATGGGATGGTGGTATGATGCAGAACGAAGCCATGTTTGCAGGTACTCCTGGGTGGGTGCTCAAGCCGGAGGGCTACCGCAGCACAAGTGACGAAGCAACACAAAAGACTGCTGCGGTTCATCACAACCTTGACTTGAGCATCGAGTTTCTTGCAGGGCAAGATATTCCACTTCCACCTGAAGAAGACGACCCGAAGGACTTCAAGCCCTACGTGAAGGTCGAGCTCCATGTCGAAAAGCACGAAGAGCGCAATGCGGAGCGCATCCCAGGCGATGGCAAAGGCAGCAAGCCCGAATACAAGAAGAAGACCAAGACGCAGCGCACTAATAATCCTAACTTCGGTCGCGAGATTATTAGATTCGACGGCGTACACGGCGTTACAGAGGAATTAACTTTTGTCAGGTGAGTGTCTAATCCCCTTTTCCTATCATTTTTCCACAATCTGGAGCCGCGGACGCAGGCCGCCATGGTTGCTCCACATGGCCGCATCCGTGGCGGAGGGCATGGCACCTCGGCCCAGTACGGTCAGCACTGCAGCAAAGTTCCACCGACATTGCACACATCCAACGAGTTCGTACATTATCAAGCGCCATTGTGGGCGCTGCGTCACACACAGACTACTAGGATCGGGACAATGCTGATGGCAGCGCCATACCCGTTTGGGGTGGAACACTCGCTTGGTCGTTTTCTCGTCTTCATAACGTTTCCGAACAAATTTGGAAAGACGGCACGATCGACGACCCTTGCTGTTGGCGTGGAACCAGAAGACGGGTACTGGGGCAACGGCAACAGTGTCGCGAAAGCCACCGGCTTGGGTTTCCAGCCAGTCACCGTTTGGCGTCGTTGTTTTTACCTCTTGGGACAATCGCCTGGACCCACTCTGCCGCTCCACCATGGCCGTTGACCGCCTTCGTTTATCACCTCATCTCAGCATGCACTCCCCTGCTACCGGGGCCCGGGAACCGTCCGATCAATTCGATGAACATGCAGCTAACCACTTTCACCTCCCGACAGATTCAAAGTCATGGACGACGAACGTCTCAGCGACGATCTAGCCGCCTGGGCGTGCTTCCGCCTCGATCGCTTGCAGCCTGGTATCCGCATGGTGCATCTTTACGATGCGAATGGCGTGGTGACCAAGGGTGTGCTGCTGGTTAGGATTCGGAAGACGGTTAGTATGGAGAGGACGCAAACCTGGTAGACAGTGGTGGAGCAATCTCGGTTCCCTTGTGCCTGAGGCTGATACCTGGTGCGCTGTGTGTAGTTGTTCCCGATAGGCCGACAGCTTGTGCGCGGAAGGCTGCTTTCGGAGGAAAAGGGCCGGCTGGGCAGGTATGGCAGTCAGCGGCGGCAGTGGAGGAGCGAGGTTGCGTTGCTCTGAGGCGTGTTAAGGATGTGGAGGTGCAGTGGTGTCTTGGTAGGCGACTTGTAGATGTTAAGCTGCCTTGATCAGTGTTTTAAAGGTGGAGTTGGCTCTGAATAGTACATGTCATGGTATCACACATCACATGAAATTACACATAAACAGGCGAACAATTATGCTTAGCTCCCATAGTCATCAATATCTTCTACGATGATCATCACATCTCCGTCTCCTATCTTCACTCGTGCACGTCACGTGGGTAAACCTTGGCCCCGTAGACAAGAAACAAGTGCATCAAGTTGCAAAACTCCAGTAAAGTGCAGCATCCTCTCGAACCCAGTCAAACCCACCACATGACAAGAACCACGCCGCACAATCAATCATCGTCGTGTCCCCATCATTTCCCAGCAAGGAAACACCACGCCCGCGAGTGTGACGTGGTTGCCACACAAGTGTATACCAAGCGTAGCAAGTCAAGTCAGGTGGCCACTCGGTTCCGAGGCCTGTTGTGCGCGCGTTCCGTGCATAGGTGAGGATGTGCATGTCTCGCGTCTGCTCTGCAGAGCATTCTCGATTGCGGGATTGACGAGCCTGAATGGTATGCTAGGTGGACGCGTCGTGGAGGTTGTGTAGACGACGCCCACGCTGTTGGGTGGGTGGATGGGTTGCCCGAGTGGAAAGGTAGCATGCGAATCTCTTGCCATATGCGCTTCCATGTTCAGACATCGAGATTCGTAGACATATCAGAATGTACGGGTCATGGATATCTGTTGCGGAGGTTGTACAATCGTATGCGGGCAAAAGCTGGACAGTACGGCCGCGCATCCGCTTCCGAAGCAAGATGGATTTCGCATGCTGCTAAGGGTGATTATTTTCGTGGTTGTGCGTTGCGTATTCCAGGTTTGTGGGCTCGTGTCGTCGTACAACAGAGACCTACCGTGTGCCATGTGTCTGGGTCCTAGTCGAGGCGGTGCCAACTTCCTCGACAAATTTTGCTCTGGTGAGCGGAGATTAAATGGTATATCAATTTGTGGGTAGCCCTTCATGATCTTCACAACTTTCACTGGCGCGATACCCAGTGAATCAGAGAACACACTCGACTATTTGGTCAGCATATCACTGTGTCACTGTACCGCAGCGCGATACATCGTTAACCTCGTGGCACATGAGCAGCCAATATCCTAAACGGTGCGATAAGGCCAGATATCTTGCATACGAGCAAAGCAGAGTCGTAGTGGCTTCCGGTTGTTTCTTTTTTGGCCTACTACCAATTACCAACGCCTAGTGAAGCTGTTGTGATGCTGTTGTACCTCATGAAAAGCCCGAGAGAAGTCGGGGTAAATGACGTGCATAACCACATGGCGAGTTGCAGATGCCGTAACGTTGTGAGTACATAAGTACGATCAATGGGCCGGCACTATCAACCGGCGCTGTTGCCTAGGATCACAAGGAGGTCTGGTGTTGTGGTACATGCGAAGCTCATTGAAAACGGTCACCGCTGTTTCGTTTGGTGGTCTCGGCGGGTACATCGCGTATCCGATAGTGAAGTTCGATGCGGATGCATGACCCAATCACGTCTTGCATGGGAACAAGGTCTGTTTGGTGGTAGGACTCGGATGCAACTTTTCTTGTTGTCGGCATACATGGAGTGGCACGACGCCATGCATGTCATAACTTCCGACAGCCAGGACAGCATTAGCCAACGAATTTGGGTACTGCATAGTCATGTGCTCACAATACACATGCGGTGTGAGGTTTCCAACGATCGATCGTAAGTTACTTGAGGTATGCCATGCAACGGCGTGTCAATGTAGTGTTGACGACACGCAAGTTTGCAGGCCGTGTCTTGACCGTTGAGCAATGCACTTGAATTTTTTCCGGGTTTGTAATCATATGTTCGTACCGCAGGACGTTGTGGACTATGAGCCTGCATGGTAGACATTGCGATTGGACGTATTGGATCGAGGAGGAAACCTTTCGCAGTGTAGAGAGTCTGTCTCGTTTGTGGGATGACCCGAAACAATTTTTTCTTTGAGTGAATAGTGTGCCGAGTACCCAGGAGCCGAATCAGCAGAAGTACGAAGGTACGACGATGGTCCCGATTAAGGCGGTAACCCGGCCGTCGGGCAACCAGAATCTGTGTGACCTGGTGGACTGGCCATTGTTTTGCTCAATTCGAGCGCCACGCTGCTCCCAGGTATCATGCCTACATGCTAGAATGTCGGGTCCTGAAGAGTCAGTGTGTTATCTCGCTAGGTCAAAACTACGTAAGACATGGCTACCAGTCGAGATGTACATAGGTGTCGCTGTCTCGAATTGCTGTACAACGAATTGGAGGACACCACTAGATACGCAGGATGAATGAGGAAGCTGGCAGTTTAGGAACTCGAGTATTGCCAAATGATGCCGTAACTGGATGCCACAATGGACGATTTGTCTTTGGAATTATGTTCAAGATAAGCTGGTGATGGACTTGAAGCATTGCGATGTTTGGGGCCTTATAATACCCCGAACCCAAATTGCAGTCTCAATCAGGCTTGAAGTCGAAAAGATCGGCTATTGAGGTGTGAAGTTCTGTTCGGTAGTCTTCCCAGGTTCAGCTCAGTCCAGAAATCAGCATTTTGCTTCTTGTACAACAATCGAATGTCTACAATGAAAGCTGTGATAATAGTAAGAAATTTGTCGAAGCCGTCAGCATTAGCTGCTTCAGCAAAGACAAGCGAAACCGAGAGTGTAGCCACCACCCGGACAAACTGCAATGACTGTAATTGTTTGTACCGGAGAATCACGATACCACGATATCAGTCTACGGTCACGTTGTCGAAACTTCGACGAGCGTCGAGTCTGGCATGGTGCCAACAATGTACAGGGATTAGTACCTGCCGAACTGCGGCTGGCTGAAACGATGAGTACTCTTTTGCGAAAGCTCGCGGAGCCTTAGCTCGGCTTCCTCCATCCGATCATTGTGCAATACTAGTATAATCGGGAGCGTCAGGTAGGACATTGTGCTACGTTTGGTGGTTGAAAGTGCCACAACGTACCGGGACTTTGGCCGCAAGATGAGTTCGTTCGAGGAACTTTGCAGCAGATCACAACTTAAACAGCGTTTCTCTGATGCGTAAGCTCGTCAGCGAGTGGCCCTGCTGAACCGATCTGCTTCCGAGGTCAACAAAGTCTTAGGGATGCCGACTGTTGTGGGTCGATGTTTGCTTCTTGAAGTGTCTGCATGGCAGTCCACAATAAAAGGGTCCGTGGCTTGACTAGCGTCCCTCCCAGAGAAGTGACCAGACGACGAGTCTCCGCATCATCTTTGAACTTCATAACCCTTTACGCTTATCCGCTCTGCGATGATACCTTGCTAGCGCTTGAGTGCAAATACCTTGTGGCCTGTCTCGACTTCGAGTGGAGCTCTTGTGCATTACCATTTTCATCAAGGTTTCTCGTTGCGAGGACTCGCTTGGGTGCTAACTCGATCAACAGAGTTCCGAGAACTTGATCGGCATTGCAGACGTGTTCGTTGTGGCTTCGAGAGAGGGGATCGTAGCCTGACCTATCCCAGGGTATCCCGGGCCTGCCGCTTCCCGGCACCATGGATGGGACATCGTGTCCGCGTATCTACCCTGGAGTAGTACCGCATCGTGCATGCATCCTCGATTCGCCATGGAGAACGATACACGGTGACTATAGTCTGTATGCATACCGTACACTCGGTATGAGGTCGAGTTCTCAGTCCGTGAGCTCTGCATGCAAATAGATACAGGCGTTACAAGCGTGCTGCACGTCCACAGGAAATTCGTAGCGGCGGATAGAGTGTGCCTCCCTTTCGACTGTGGTGCCGCTCAACGGCTCAAGTATAAAGTGTCGTCCTGTCTCTTATTCGAAAATCATCAACGTTCAGCCTCGTTCCTTGACCTCGGTCTTTACTCTCGTTCACCATCGTCGCTACGCGTAGCCCATCGTCTCCAAACAATAGCTCATTGTCCACGTCGTTCCTGCATCTCAACCCATCATGTGTCAGCACACTCCTATTGACAAGGTCGCCGTTCCTTGCATGTTTGACGTGGAAGGTATCTTGACCATGCCGGCAAGTGTTTCAGAAACCGAACACGCATCTGTACCTTAGCTAATTGCTACTTCTTCAGGTTCCTGGACGTCGCTGTCCCTCCTGTCTCGAGCGCGGTGACACTGTTTGGGTCATTCCTGGCAAGTGCTGTCCACAGTGCGGTACTCCGGTCAACTAGTCTGTTTCTTGGTAAGTTTGTGGTGATCCGGTTTGCCTTGTGTACTTGCTAACTTGCACTGCACAGGCGAAAAATTACTTTCCCGCGCTTGATCTCGTCCCTGCTTTTGGCGTAACTTGTGATACAATGGGAGTGGCTGAAGCGTGCGAACTCGGAGTTGTTTGTCTGCATTTTCCGGAGTTCATTTGGGCGATATCTGTAATTGCAAGCACTGGTAGAATTGGATGTACTTATATTGGCAAAGTGGAGTAATGAAAAGTTCTTCCTTGATCGCTTCAATGCTGATCGTATCCAAACAAACGAACATGGCACTTCTCATGAGCATTGTGTACGGTCTGAGATCGACAGCAACGTCCCAAGGCCTGTCTTGTATGATCGTCTGCGGGTCATCGTAGAAGAACGGTGGGACACAAAACATGATACCGGATAACGAAGAGGTAGGGTACGTGTCTGGGGGTGTCAGTGGCAGAAGTCGCTAGCCTCGGTGGCAGGGAGAACGATCAAGTGTGTGCGGTGTTTGATGGTGACCAGTGTACACGATAGGCGAGGAGAGGAGTTCATGTGCAAGCCCAGAAGAGAAGATGTTCGAGACCAGCTGGGAAAGGATGTCAGAGAAATGGCCGTGCGGTTCCTGCCTTCAAATCGCGTACTGCCGCTTAGTCACGCTTGCAGAAGGTGTGAAGAGGAAGGCACACCACGCGAGGACGTAGTCACGAAAGAGAATAGCATGATGAAACAACACTTTGACGAGAGGAAAGCAGTGAGTATAGTGTCAAATTTGGACGGGTATCTGGGGCGTTAACAGCAAAAGAGCTCCTGCTTCATAGACGAAACGATTAGAAGCAGTCGTACCCCCAGCCGCCCTCCAGTCCTATCCAGTAACGCCTGCCGTGCCAGAGAAATGCTAAGACGAAGAATGCCCGTTGCCTGCCCTTGATATATTGTACATATTGCGCTTTGATCAAGCAGCGGTCGTTATAGTCGTTAATAATGCGCAAGTGATGCGCTCAGTTGCCCCCTTTGCGCTTTTGCTGCTTGCCTCCCTGTCGCTTCTGCTGGGGCGCTTCTTGAGGTTGCTGCTGGGGCGTGTTGGGCTGCTTTTTCTGTGTGGCTTCTAGTGGCTCTTCGAGTGTCCCGTCTTGCCGTTTCTGCTGCGTCATAACCCATTTCATCCTGTCGCGTGTCTCCTTCATCTCCTCCACAAGACGCTCTGCTTCGCGCTCCTTGTCGGGAAGAGAGGAGCGCATCTTTTCTGCCTCGGTGACGAGTCTGTCCATCTCCTTGCGATGCTCCTCCTTGTAGGCGTCCATCATGTGCGACAGGTTTGTCTCTGTGCGGCTCGTGCGTGACATTTCGTGCTGCAGCTGGTCGCTGATGATGGCCTGGCGCTTGATCTTGTCCGCATCCTCGATTCGCAGCCGCCGCAGCTCACTGAGCTCCTCGTTGATGTACTTGAGCTTCTTCTCGTAGCCCTCGGTGATGCGCTTGAAGCCGTCGCGCGCCGTCTCGAGGTGGGTGTCGGCCATGTGCTTCATCTCATAAGCGTGAGAGAGCTGGCGTTGTGTCTCGGATCGCGTATCTCCGAGCATCTTCAGTGCCTCTTCGGCCCTCTGCTCGGCTACTTTGCGCCTGTGCACCTCGGCGTCGAGCGTGGCCTTGAGTTCTTCTAGCTTGCGGTCTTTCCGTTCGATTGCTCGCGCATTGGTCTCTGCGAGTACTTGTAGGTGTTGTGTGTTGGCTCGGGTGTCCTCGGCTTTTGATTTTGCGGCCGACACTCGCTTTGCTTCCTCCTCGCGCGCAAGCTTCTCCACCTTGAGCTCTCTGCGCAGCCTGTCGTTCTCGGACGTGATCTTATCGATGTACTGTGACGTCTTTGAATTGCCTGGGGCGCTGTGGAAGTTGGGGCGGTTCCAGGCCGCGGCTGCGGTTCCATCCGCGCCGTTGAGCCCGTTCTCAACGGCGAGAGGGCCGGATACTTGGCGGGGTGTCGTGAAGGATGGCATGTTGCTGGCAGTGGATGGGCGCGGTGGTGTCGCGTCGGGGGTGCGCAATGCGTTCTCGTGGTTTCTGGCGGTGCCGTTCATGTCATGCTGCTGGGGAGGGTCCAAGTTGAGGCGGGGGAGCAAAGGTGCTGTGTGCGGGCAAAAAGAGTTAGCATTGAAGCTTGTCCAGACTCGATAAGAGAAATGCGCGGGTGAAATGCAAGCAATGTGCTGTGCGATGTAAATGGATCAATGTTTATCGAAGCTCGGGGTTCAGAACGGCGCGCGACGAATGCTGTCAATGCGCCCTGTTTGGGACGCAGGGGCATCAATGTTCCTGGCTTGCGCTAGCCCTACCTGACTGGCCAACACCTGGGGCATCCTTTCTCCGCCACGAGAAATCCCGAAACCGCTTCGAGATGCTGACGACCATTACTTGAAAGCTGTGCATGGGTGCGTTAGTGACCATGTGCTAAAGGTGCTTGCGGATCTCAAGTGTCTCGTTTGAACGAGTACTCCGCTGCTGAGACATTCAGTCTTGTTGCAGCCACCGACAGACAATTGGTAATTTGACGAGACAAAGCAAAGTTCGGTGCGTCTTTCTGACGAGACATACCCCATTAGCTCTCTGTGTGAGCAGCAGCTTCACCGGCTGGTAGATGTTAGCTATGATTAAGAAGTTGTAGTCATTAGTCTGTTGGCGGCTGCTGCTGTTGCCTGTTGAAGAGAAGGCCGTGCAAAGGCTTCATACATGGAATTTGCAAGCGCGCTCCATGCTTAGTCACTACAGTTTTCCGTTTGGCTTTCACCTTCACTTTCTCGACATTCATCGTGAAGTGAAGTGCAGTGATGCCAGTACCTAGAGCGATCTGCAGCCGTTCAAAAGTGGGGCGCGCAGCCCTGGCAACCGCCCGTGCTCCCGCCGTTTATACCTAGTTTGGCCGTGACGTACCTCCTAGTTCCTGAGCCATGGTCGCGAACAAGCTGATTGCCTTTACACGATAGAAATGTCTTCACGTTGCTCAAAATTGATATCAAACTAGCCTGGTTCTCCGTACTCTTCTCGCGCGGCTGCTGAAACTGTGCATGCATGATCCTGGCCAGTTTCAGGTATCGATGGGTTGCGAACGCCTCCAGGGTGCGCCGCTGTAACATGATCAATTCACCAAATGAGTTTGATGCGTTGTCATGTTCAAGAAAGGAGTACAGCTTTTCATGGCTCCTGAAATTGTTCGTGCCTAGATCCATTCTCCATTGTTCATTGTCTCCTGTACACGAAAGTCTCCAGGCGCTGCTTTGATCATCTCGAATCCACTTTGAAATGAGGGCAATCAATCATCATTATAGTTCTTCTCGGCAAAGTAATCATGACCCGAAAACATGCTAGGAGGATTCGGGTAACCTCAGGTGTAACGATATATGACATGGCCGCAGAATCAACACAGCCTTCGATCTGTCACGTCAAATATTGCGAACTTTTGTGTGCAAGGGTCTATACAGGATGGTACTAAAGAGACATGATAGGGAAAGTGGCTGACGTTTGTTGTTGTGGGGACGGAGAGTGGTGCTATGGTCTCGAAGCCACCAAGACTATGTGGTTAGTACCTAGGCACACCTAGGGACAAGAAGGAAGTGATGAATGACAAGACAACGATAGACTGAGAGTGAGCTGACGGACAGACCATGTGTGAACACGAACGAAATGGATATCATTCCTTGGATATATACACAATCAATCTTTCCATTGCTCTATGACGAGTTCTCTGAACCCTTGAGGATGCGCGGCTTCAATGGCTGCTCCGACGGCACCTCGTTGTTCCTCAGAGCCTCGAGCTTGCGCTCGTTCTCCTCATACGCAATCTTCTTGTACTTCTCGATGACCTTTTCCATCGAGACTTGGCTGCCGGCTGGGACGTTGTACGGAGATCCGACATTCATGAGCCTGCAGCTATGTTAGCCTCAAATCTCCTCCTTCTCTTCACGCAGTCGACGAAGTTTCATGTGCGCGAGTAATTTTGTCAAACGTACTCTGGGAACCTCATCTCCACATGGTCATGAGGCGCGGTGTTGTTGAAGAGCACCCTGTCCTCACCCGCCTGTTCAACCATGCGCACGTGCAGATCGTTCATCTTCGCCAACTTCTCAGACGACTCCGTGTATCCGTTGATCAAGCGGGTGAAGAAGGGTTGCGAGTCGTCGCTGTTGTTGCGCGAAACGTACCATACCGCCCACGCGGCGGGGATGGTCGCAAAGGTAAACCAGAAGCCGTTCTATATACCAATTGGGTCAGCCTAAGTCCCGTCATATGTTCTCCGGTGCTTCAATTGCAAGTGATAGGCGGTAGACGTACCCCCATGGGCTCGTTGACGGGTGCGTGGCCGTGGTCGTGGGCGTGCTCATCGTGAGCAAAGCGGCGCTGCTGGCGCGGGAGAGTACTTCGGCCCTTCCGGGCAGCAGTCACTGCTGTCCTGCGGAGTGACTGCATTGTGTGAGGATTGGCGGTCGTGGAGTGCGCCGGACCTTGCGATGCTGAGCTTCGATGTTGCGTCGGAGCGGGATGGCGCTACGCTGGATGCGGTAAGTGGCTTGGCAAGATTCTTTCCTCTCTCAACCCTCGGAAGCCACCTGCAGCCTTCTCTCATACTAGATAGTCCGAGAAGGAAGAAGCCGGTTCATGTATCAACCTTGCGATAGTAGCTCTCTTTAAGCATACGATGGCCTTGCAGTCGATTGCATTGTCAGGAACGACTAACATCACGATCAATCTCGACGTGCAAAGAGCAATTCAATCAAGCACGAGATGCTGCCCGACCTCCGGTAGATCCAAGGAACACGCTGCATCGAAAGGGAAGCGTGGCTTGTAAAGTCCGGCTCAACGATACTCTACGTTGGTAGATGCTACGATGGGGTCTTAGGTGGTGATTCAGGCTCGTGATGACAAGACTACCATACGGTCATCCCACGATAATGTCTACCAGAGCGATGATCCGGGAATTTTACTTACATTCGTGACGAATGGCTCATGAGAAGACAGAAAGCGCCTACATATGTATGCAAAATCTGATGACATGAGTACTCAGTAGAAGCAACTTCTTCTCACTAAAGATGCTAACCGACGGCTGTTTGATTGAACTCGATCTGTTTCGTGTCACTCTTCAGGTCAGCTTCGACTTGGTCTTCGCTTATGTGGCGATGCAAAAGTCAGAATCACTGCTGCTTGCCTTTGCAGGTCCAGCTGGTCACGGAAAGACTGAACTTGCCGAGCAATTGGGGGTCATAATAGGCGTGAAATCGCTCTCAATCAGCTGTGCAGAGATCAGGACATCTTGGGGTCTTTTAGGCTCGGAGACAGGGTTTGTCAATCACGAAAATGGGACGAAGCTCAGGTAGGATCGAGTTCACAGTGGTCAAGCAACCGGACCCGCAGCCGGAAATTGAGCCAGGCATGGAACCAGATGCAGAGACTGCAACGGTTACGACCGCACCGATCACAATGGCAGATGCAGCAAATGATCCAATCGGGTTGCCACCTGGCTCACGCACCGGCTCAGCGACTATTAGTACTTCTAGCACGCTGGGAGCACCGAAGAGGAAGAAGCGTAGGGAGGGAAAGACGCTAGCACCACCAGAGGCACATCCGCCTTCTCCCGAGACAGCTGGCGGACGAGAATTGCGACCCCGCGGCTCAGGTGGCAAATACGTCAAGCCGCAAGATGGTCCAACTGAAGTACCTATGGAGTAGGATAGTAGGAAAAGGTCACGTATGCTCAGCGAGGGGAAGTGAAGTGGGAAAGCTATTCCGTATGTATAGCGAACTTAAATTAGACTTGATTTACTGAACTGAACATGCTCCAAGCAATCTTTGATGTACTTGCTTCTTAGTGACCACAAGAAACAAACATAGGAAACACATCAGGTATAGTATCGACTTTACAAAGCATAGCATTAGAAAGAATAGTATGTATATACAAAGAACAACAACACAGCCGTACCATCATAACATCATCACGGGTATCTTCCTCGCCCCAACACCACAACACCGCCACAAATCGCACCATCTACTCCAAACCAACGGCAATCGCCGCCAACGCCCAGTCCATGAAGCCAGCGTTCGTGTCCAGAATGTTCTGGTTGAACTCACTGCTCGTCGGGTAGAAGTTGGTCGCGTATCCAAACTCCATCGTGAAGCCATGGACCTTGTTCTTGGCTGAGTTGGCAAAGTGCCTCGAGTACGCGTAGTCGTCTGATGCTCCCGACGTGGCATATAAACCGACGGCTTGCATTGAAGAATACGAACGGCCACCAACTGCCTTCATCGCGGCAACCGTCTTCGATGCCACGTTCTTGATGTTTGTAACATCAGCAGCAGGCGCATACTCCCTGTACACGGTGTCGCCAACGGGACCACGCTTGCCGTCGTACGCAGCGTTCATGAAGTTCATCTGTGTGTTGGTGTTCTGGTTCTCGTCGTCGCCCCAAGAGTACAAGATATCACCAGTCGCGGAGTGGATGTCCATGAACCACCTGATCTTGGGGAACGAGTCGTACACGCTGATGTGGTTCTTGGTCTCTGGCTCCGACGCCGCAGCAGTGCCGTAAAAGGCCTCGCTGCTGGGCGAAGTCGAGGCTGGCGACTCGCCGGGGTCGAAGTACTTGCGGAAGTTCCACAGGAAGTCGAAGTTGCGGTTGATGTCGACTCCAATGGAGCTGCCGGAGGAGCCGGAACGCGTGTTGCGGTTCTTGCGCCAGAGAGAGCCGCTGGACTGGTCGTAGGCGATGCCGTCGGGGTTGACGGCGGGGAAGAAGACGATACCAGCTGCGAGGATAGACTTCACCTGAGCATTGGTGTATGTCTTGCGGCCGTAGGTAAGGCCGGTACCGGCCTTGTTGGCGGCGAGAAGGTCCGAGATCCAGTAGATGAGGTTGTCGGGACCACCACGTTCGCGAGCGTGCATACCAGCCGAGAGGTAGAGGTGGTACTGGCTCTTGTCCGTGCCAGCTCCAACGAAGCCAGCAACCTGAGTGGCGCCGTTGAAGGTCTTGTTCGGCAGAGTGATGGTGCTGACACCATAGGTCTTGGCCAGAGCCTGAACAGCAGAGTTGATCTCGGCAACGTTCATGATGCTGCTGATAGTTGCGCCTGAGGCCTGCTGTCCGAGACCGACAGGTGCGACGGTGCCGGACTTGAAGCGGTCTCCAGTTCCAATGGGTGCGGTCGCGGCCCTTTTGGACAAGTCTTGCCTGTGGATTGAGATTTCCGGCGCAAATTCATACTCCTTGGTGACATGAGCGATTTGGTCCTCAGTCAGCAGGGCGTGGAGAGTAAAGTGCCCATCATCGGTAGGCTTTGCAACCGGTCGGCAGCCAAAGTCGTACGTATCATTGCGGACAATGTCTCTGAAGTGTGCCGCAGTCGGCGCCTTGAAGTGAACGGGCAGAAGGTCGGCAACGACAATTGTGCTCTGAAGAATCAGAGATGCAACGAGTGAGTACTTCATGATGATGGAAAAGGAGGATGGATGTGCACGGAAGAACGAGAGTGACCGTGTGCCTTTCAATTCTACCGCGGACATGGGAGACCTATATACATTGTTTCTTGTGATCTTCACCAGCCTAATTTGGCTGTCTCCAAATGAAAGGCAAGTGGTCTCCTTGCCCATAAGCTCGGTATGGGCCGAATAGGGTAGTTACTATTGACTCGCACCACCATTGGCCAGGATCGAGATTTGCGCTAGCCTCCACCTTCTGCTTTGGTCACAACGCCGTTTCCAAGACTCCGACACCTGCCCAGACAGACTTCGAGGCGCGATAAGGATTCATGCGCGGCGGCGCCGGGTGGGCTATATCGATCGACGCGAAGAGGCGATATGCGTAGCCTGGACAACAATTCGCCGGCGCCCAGGTCCGTCTATCGACTCCGTGAAGCTTGAGATGGCCAAGATGTAGTCGGACCTATTGCAGCTTCACCTTCCTCATCAAAAGAAGTTCTTGTTCCTGGCGGTATGTTTCAGTAATACTTGATTTCGATGAGAACGTGATCGTATTGTCTTCCACAGACTTGCACATGGCGTCATACTATCCGTAGTACATGTGGCACAGGGAGCAAAGATCCACGTGCACATTTAACGTGAGAACGAAGTCACTGAATGTTGTACGTATCGACTTTCCAAGAGTTCAACAACAAAAAGTAAAAAGCGCATCATGCTGGACTGCATTCACACAGCACAAAAGAGCAAAAAAGGGTCTTGCCGCGACTCGAACGCGGGGCCTCTCGCAAGCTATGCTCGGGTTTAACCCTAAGCGAGAATCATACCACTAGACCACAAGACCGAGCTTTGATGCTGTTGATGTATAGATCCGAACTTATTATGTTTATAAACACAATTAAAATAATTCAAAAAACGACGAAGTGGGGAAAAATGGTGAGGCGAAACATGACGGACTGTCAAAGGTGGGGTAGCTTAGGAACGGCATGCGGGAGTAACGCGACGCGTCTGCGAGCTTCAGCCAGGTCCCAATTGCTCATTTAATTCCTGTCCATGCCCAATTTATTACAAACTAAGAACTCTTATTAAATCACATCAGATAGACTCTTGCTACCAAAAACAAACTGGCGATTGTCGTGGTGAATACGCTACCCGCCGGGGCCGTGCATCGTCGACATCATGAACGCGTCTAACCGAAGCTTCTGGTCGGACACGAATAACCGCTCGACATCCTTCCATGGCTTCTAATCGTAGCTATGGACACGACCAATCGCTCTCCATAGCCATCCCCAGGAGCGTGATATAGGCAAAATGGTACGGCTTTTTGTGCCCGAGGGTCTGTACTGCGATCTGCGATTCGTCATGTCAGGTCTAACCGTTCGTAGGCGAAGGGCAACACCCTCTTACGCGCCGCCAACCCGATCCTCTTCCCGCACGACACGCGACTATAGGTTTACCTGGAGTAGGTGTTGGATTCGCATGTGCTACCACATCTGTTCTCGCCCTGGTTGGCCATTCGCGTCCAGGATATTTCTTGAAAGCTGCCGCATTTTTCAGCGCGGCGGGCGTGCCGATATTCACGCTCGACGGATATGGTAGGCGAGAAATAAACCGGGCTATTTTCAAGTTGGACAACATCGAACCGAAGCCTGGAAAGCTATGGGAAAGGACAAAGCACTGGACCCAGGAAGACGTGGGCATAGGCGGAGCGATATCTCTCACATTCTTAGCTTTGAATCCTCGAGCCCTTCCAGGAGTCGCCGGATGGAGGCGGTTCATTGGCGCTGCCACTGTCGGATTCGCGGCAGGAACTGTCCTTGGATCTCCATATTTCGGGTTGGCGCGCATACCACCCCAGACCCAACGGCTCATGCGCGCAGCTGATGCGCATATCCAGCATATTCAGTATAACCGTTTGAAGGAAGATGCAAAAGCCCAGGAGGCGCTCTCGCGCTCTGGTAAGATTGCTTTTGCGATCTACACCTGGCCAATATGGAGACTTTCGCTCAACCCTTTTAAGGCTGCTTCTGCTGCTTCTGAGCCGGGGGCGGGCGATAGTCCAAGTGTCTTAAGGGGCGGATTCCAGCCGGGTCAGCTTGCCCAAGATCCCCACGTAGGCATCAACAAGGAGGAGATGGAGCAGTACACCGTAGTTCAGATTGAATTCAACAAGGGAGAGTTGAGGGGACCAGATGTCGAGCATGGCTACCGAGCATACAAGGATCGCCTTGCAGACCGAGATACAAACGCTCTACATGACTGGCTCGAACAGCTAGAAGCGATTCGACGAGCTACGGCCACTGAAGCGCAATACGTATGGCAATACTTGGCTGTCAAAGAGCACAAGTTTTACACTATGGAAGAAGAAGACAGGGAAAAGGACATAATGCGGCGCGAGCTTCAGCTGCTCAACAACATGGCCAGCGACTTCGCATCGCGCGATGCTATACTCGCTTATCACATCGCGGATGTGCAGAAGCGGCTAAAGCAGCCTGGAAAACAAGAACCTGTCACCCAGAACCTTATCATCCAGACTCATGCAATGCCCGAGGGACTCCCAGAAGACTGGGAAAATCGCTACAGTCCACATTTGATAGCTGAGCAGGTTCGGCTGAACTGGGCCAGGCAGAAAGAGCTCCTGGGCTACTTCGAACAGAGCAGCAGCATTTTCGGTGACATCAAGCCTGAGCCTGGCTCTATGCAAGAAAAGCAGCTTGCCGGCATCAAGCAAAATGCTGAGGACATGAAGAAGAATGTTGAAGCTACGGAGCGATTGCTCAAGGACTTCGAAGACCAGATTCGCAGGGCTGAAGAATACACAGACACAGACGCAGAAGAACCTAAATCTGCCGAACCTTGAGGCTACCCCCTGCCCAAAGCCCTCTGGATGTGGCCGATGGAATGTGAAGGCTCTGTTGAACTGTATGCTTCTGTACTGGCGGGTAGGTCTCGGGGCTACTTTCGAGTGACACAGGAAGTCACGATGGTCCTGGACGATGTAAAGATAATTGGGGAGTCACTCGAAACATATCAGACTGCCCGACTGCACGCCCAAATGATACGTGCTGAATTTCATCATCATCATCATCATCATCATCATCATCATAGCGCGCCGTGGCGCTGCATTGCAACCCGGGCCGTCGGGAGGAGATGGACAATTCAATGTTACGAAACATGCGGCGATGTGCAGGGCGGCAAACCTTGCAACTCGATGCGCTAGCAAAGTATACGTAGGACCGGAACCGCCAGCACACGCGAATCATTTCTTCAGTAGTGATCTACTCGAATGAGCGATAGACCAATAACATCGAATCGTATAACATTACACGTCACACGATAACTACCGCGAGAAGGTATACTTTCAATGCAAAAAGTGTGCACAAAGGCGCATTCTCATTCTTCCAATTCTATCATACACTCGTCTGTCTCCTGTCTTACAACTCACACTCCACCCCTTGACTGAACTTACTATGTCGTTTAGTGGAAAAGTAATTGCCATCACAGGCGCATCATCAGGCATTGGCCGTGCAACTGCACGCATTCTCGCATCACAAGGCGCTTGTGTCTCTCTCGCTGATGCAAATCCTTCCATAAAGAAAACAGTGCCGTCTCTACCAAGCGATCGAATATATTCTACGGTCGATGTCCGAGATCAACATGCAGTCAACTTGTGGATTGGCAATACAGTATCCCGTTTCGGCAAACTCGACGGAGCAGTGAACATGGCTGGTATTCTCACAAAAGCGACGCCATTGGTCGAGACAAGAGATGAAGATTGGGATACGAGTTTCGCTGTGAATGCAAAGGGCGTTTTCAACTGCTTAAGAGCGGAGATCAGAGCTATGAAACCTGGGGGAAGTATTGTATGTGACTTCACCTACTCCTGTCTCTCGTATGCTGATCGCTACTCAGGTCTCAGCAGCAAGTGTCTTCGGCCAATTCGGTGCTATTGGTGCCGCGCCATACTGCGCGACTAAAGCAGCCGTCACATCCATGAGTCAAGTTGCTGCGAAGGAGAATTCGCACCTGAGGATCAATTGTGTTGCACCTGGTACGCGACATTCACTTTGGAAATTTTGGATCTAAGAATCTAATGTCCCACTCCCTATAGGCTTGATTGATACTCCCATGCTCCGAAGCCAGAACCCAGAAGCTGTAGAAAAAAATCTACAATTTCCCGTCATGAAGAGGAGAGCTGAAGCGGAGGAAGTGGCACATGTGATTGCTTTCTTGCTAAGTGAAAAGGCATCTTTTGTCACGGGTGCTGTGTGGAACATTGATGGTGGATGGGTGTGCTAAAACTATTTACAAAGTGTATTCCTGATTAACTCATTTAAACGGCTTCGATCCCTGGAGAGATGTGGGTAGAAGCCGTCACTGACATTGGCGGGAGGTGACGTAACCGATTGGACCCTGAAGTATGCTAGACACTTCCGCGCTCGCTCCGCAACTTTGACGAACAGTTTGATTCTTCGCCATCTTCACCAGCCATAATCGAACACGACACACGAATTCCAAAAATTGTATTACTAGCAAATATTCAAAATGCGATCAGTACGGTCAACAGCCGTGCGCCGGCTTCGCGCTTCCATGACCACTCAACCGTCATTGCCATTCAGCGCAAGGCAAGCCGTACCATGCGTCTTCTGCGCGCACCATACACAACCACCGCTCACACAACGACGTTTTCAAACCAACTCTTCCGACTCGAATAAACGCGAAGAACCTTTCAACTCTTCATCAACCTCTCAGCCAAGCGCACCACAAACGCATTACTCATTCTTCCCGAAAGCGCTACCAAACGGCCCACCACCAGCCGCGCCCTTCACTATCGACCTCTCCGCCCTCAAGCGTGAGTTCCTGCAACTACAAGCGCGCGCGCACCCAGACATGCATCCTCAATCCGACAAAAAGCGTGCCGAAGCGCTCTCCGCCCGGATAAACGAAGCCTACAAAACGCTGCAGAATCCGCTGTTGCGGGCACAATATCTACTATCGCTGCGCGGAATTGAAGTCGCCGAAGATGAAACTGCGAAAGTAGATGATCCAGAGCTACTCATGGAAGTGCTGGAGGCAAGAGAGTTAATTGAGGAGGCGGAGAGCGAAGGAGATTTGGTGGGGTTGCGGGAAGAAAATGATGAGAAGATCAGGCGGAGCGAAGAGGTGTTGGAGCAGGCGTTCAAGGAGGACGACATTGCGGGAGCAAAAGAAGAGGCGGTCAAGTTGACGGTATTGGATCAATATCAAGGAGAGTATTGATGGGTGGGAGAAGGGGAAGCCGGTTGTGCTGCAGCATTAGAGGTGAGCAAGGGATAAAAGAAGGCATACTAGATTACGATACGGAGAGATGATACCCTACTTTTTGCATGTAGCAATGTCTGTTTAACAACATGGTGCATCATCCATTCAGACAAGTGAATTTGGAAGGGCGCAAACACAATGTGCGTTAGTAGTCCACCAACAAAAGACAATAAGCTACTCAAGACCTACAGACAGCCTAAAGATTGCTATCTCTGTTCCGCAACACCATTTCACGCCCATCGGCGTCTTCCGACATCTGACGTACCTTCCCTTCCCGGCCAGCCTCGGCCCACCACCCCTCCATCAAAGCTCGCCGCGTCGCGTTTCGCACCCTCTCTCCTTCCCTCCACCATGTCACCCACGTCCTTCACCTCCGCCGAAGCCGTCCCCGACAAAGATGGATTGATCCACGGCGTATCCGCGCAAGAGCTGCAAATCATCGGCGAGCAATGTATTGACGCAAAGACCAGGGCTTACTGTAAGCTTCGCCCATTTTCGCAGTATCGAAGGATGTGTATACTAACAGGATCTCCAAGGCCCGTACTCCCTCTTCCGCGTCGGCGCCTCCCTCCTCCTGCAATCCTCCATCTCGCCCGGCCCCCTTCTGCCCTCGCCCCGACCTACCCCCTCTCACACATCCTCACTGGCGCCAACGTCGAAAACGCCGCATACCCCGTCGGTACCTGCGCCGAGCGTGTCGCCATGGGCACAGCCGTGCACTCGGGCTATCGCATCGGGTCATTCAAGGCCGTCGGCGTGGCCACGGACATTGACGATTTCTGCAGCCCGTGCGGCATGTGCAGACAATTTCTGCGCGAGTTTCTGGCGCTCGAGACGCCGATCTTCATGTTTAATAAGGAGGGGAAGTATATTGTGCGGACAATGGGCGAGTTGTTGCCACTGAGCTTTGGGCCGGACGTGCTCCCACCCAGGGAGGAGATGAGGAAGGTGCAGGAGGAGGACAAGGCGAAGACTGCGTAGGGAGAAGCATGGTGGGACTAGGAATTCAGTGTGTGTTGTGTTGTTCGAAGGCGATTGGGCGATGAGCGCAGGATTTTGACAGCATCAAGGCGGCGTTGCACGAGAAATCAAACGGCGGGCGGAGGCGAGTTTGTTAGAACAGGAGCTTCATAGCCGGAAAACCATCCCATTCAGAAAACCATCAAAATCTCTATATGGCATTTTCTTTTAGGAATCGCATGTATTTCACCCCGCCAGCCAGCCCCTCACACCCCCGCGTAACACCACCACACACATCCCTTATCGGTCCCGCGATAAGCCCTCCCCAGCTCCAGCTCCAGCCAACCTCGTCCCTCCCATTATGCATCTCCGCGCCCCGTGGATATGGACATTGACATAATGCACGTTTCCCCGCAGCTTGACACGTATGGGCAAACAAAAACACCCATAGTCCCCGAGCATAATGTGAAAGTTTGCCGACGTATTCTTTGATAACACGTACAATTGACCAACGCGATGACCGAAGCCAACACAAAGACCCAGACGCAATTGGACTCGGAGCATTTCTCGCCGTACCGCGCGGATGGGAAGTTGGTGAGTGAGCGAATTCAAGAGAAGCGGGAAAGAGGGAGAAGAAGGCTGATCAGACGTGTCTAGTATGGATTCGTATGTGTAGTCACGGGTGCTACGCAGCCCGTGGGCAAGGCCATAGTGACTGAATTAGCTGGTAAGCCTTCACCTTTCTTCCAATTCTCCGCGTAACGTCTGGAACAATCAAACTCCAAAGAGACAACTTAACATCTTGGACCCAGAAGTTTACTAACACCCAATCCCCTCCCCCGCAGCCCACGGCGCAGCATGTATATACGCCTGCTCCTCGTCGCCCTCAGAACCATACTCGGAGCTCGCAGACGCCGTCAACGCGCAATTCCCAAACACAAAAGTCATCGGGTACCCATACAACATCACCTCCGAGGAAGCCACGCTCGCACTCATCGACGACGTGCTGAACTCCTGGGGCCGCCTGGATATCTGGACGTCTTCAACGTCGCACCTCGGACCCCCCTCGATTCAATCCACCAGCCCAAATGACCTGCTCAACGCTTTCGAAACAAACGCCATGCCCGCCTTCTTCGCGCTCAAATACGCGCCCGCTGCGATGCAGAAGACCACGCCGAAAGGTTCATACCCCAACGCGGCCCCCAAAGACGCGCCCTATGGGAGTATCATAGTGGTTACCTCCGTGGCTGGCACATACGGCGGCTGCTGGTCACCCGCGTTCAGCATGGCGTCGCATGCAGCGCTGGGATGCGTGCGATCCGGCGTGTTGGTGTTGAAAGGTACCGGGGTGAGGATCAATGCGATAGCCGCGGGGCAGATTGACGTTGGGGTGGATTTGGCGGGGGGCGAGGACATGGAGAAGGGCCAGTTTCCGCCGGCGCAGTTGCAGGGGGAAGATGCGCAGAGGCGGCTGATTGGATTGGAGAGGGCGGGGAGGCCTGAGGAGGTGGCAAGGGCGGTCGGGTTTTTGGCGAGTGGGTTTAGTAGTTATATCACTGGGAGTGAGATTCGGGTGGATGGGGGCGCGGGGGTTATGAATCCGATTATGGTGCCTGTTTAGGAGATGTAGGGTTGATATTGCTTGGATATTGCTAGGATACATCAGAGCTCGTCTTTGTATACTTCCTCACTGCCTTCTTGGGGCTCGTCATCTTCATCTTCATCTTCGTCTTCGTCCGCCGCCGGCTTCGGTGCTTGTTTCTTGTCAGTACCCATGCCGCCCTTCTCTTCTCTCCCCTTTTCTTCTCTGTCCTTCTCCTTTTTGACTTCTTTCTGTCCTTCTTCCGCATCATCCGCTTCGATGATGCCCCTGAACTCTCGCCCCTTTGGTGTGTCGACGAGATCTAGCTTCCAACCCTTTCGTCCTGCCAGCTTCTTCAAGTTGGTCTTGAACTTCTCGACGTCTTTTGGGTCTGCGATGTTGTACTTCTTCATGTCCTCTTTGGACATTTGCTTGCCGTCGCTGCTTGCTACAGTAGCAACGAAGACCTCTTTACCGCCGCCCACGACGACGCTCTTCTCGATGACCTTGCCTTCGCTGCCGACGAGCGCTCGGGCGCCGACTTCGATGCCTCCAATAATGGGGCCGCGCTTGGAAGAGCCTTCGAGTCCTTCAGTGACTTCGCGAAGAGGATTGGAGTTCGCGTCATCGTGTTCGGCAATGAGGCGCTCAGCTTCTGTGATCTTAGCCGCCAGTCTGGCTGCCGATGCTATTCTCCAGTCCTCGACTTCCGAGTCGGGGATGACGGGCTGGCAGGTTATGGCATGAGCGAGGTTGTCTTGAGGTGGGGAGAAAGCCACATCGTGGCAGAGGCGTGGGGTCTCAACTATCATGAGGTAGGAGCATGTGCTGGTCTCTTTGATCATGGCGATCCGGTCGGCGGAGTGGGGGTTGCAGTGGAACTGTGAGGTATGTTAGTAGACTGTCGTTTTATAGTGCTATCGCATTTCTCACCTGCACATCGATCTTTCGCGGTCTGCCTGTCAAATCGCACTCGGTGCCTCCATTCAACCGTTGCACCATGTATCTGCTCGATCCCTTGCTCTCCAGTCTCGGCAGGTCCAGCGCACTCTCCGACTCATCCTTCACATTGCCCTCGTCGTCGAATGTCTCTTTGCTGCCCTGTTCACTGCCCAGAGTCTTCCGCGCATCCTTCTTAGTCTCCTTCTCCTTCTGGTATCTGCCCAGGACAAAGCTGTGCACCGAAGTGTCCTCGACTGGTGGATAGAGAGACACACCCCGACTCGGCGGTAGTTGGTGAAACTGCTTAACTTCCTTCTTGTAGCAGAAGCTGTAGCTCCACCATCCGCTCAGATAGTATATGCAGCTGCCCTTCATCCCCTCGAGCAGCTCCCAGCCACGGTCTGTGGCGCGCACCAGCTCCTTCTCTTCTTCGGCCTTTGCTTCCTCAGCGCTTGTCGTACTGTTCAGTGGGACTTCCTCGGGTATTGTCGGGATGCTGCATAGATAGCGCTGGCCCTGCAGTACAACGGCTTCGTACGTATACTCGAGGGCATCCTCGGCAGGTGGTATTTGCGCGCCTTTTTCACGCTTTGATAGCTCCTGCGTCTCCTGGGAACTTGGTATCGCGGAGCTCGAGCTGGGCGATGCATGTGGCGATAGGAGCGATGTTGCGTCGTCCTCGGTGACATATGTGTCGGGCCATGTCACTTCATACTGGACGAATGATCAGCACCGATGCGACAGGTGGGACTCGAGCGCATCTTACCTGAGGGAACGCCAGAAGGTCATCAAACACACTGAAAGCGTGTTGGCTTGCGAGCGCAATGCGCAAGACAGCCGGAAGTGCCCAGAAATTCCGCATATTGGAGTTGAGGTGGAACAAGCTGTGGAGATGTTCGTGACGTGGAGTCGTGGAGCTCTTGTAATCCTGGTTGGAGCCATCTGTCACTTCCGGATCATGTTCGCCCTAACCGTATTCGCCCAATCACTGAGCATGCATTTCCCGCAAGGCAGCACCGAGGATACCTATATTCTATTGATTATTTTGTATTCGTTCTTATTGTGACAATTGTATAGTATATTATCTAGTGACCAGCGTCCTTCCCAGTTCCTGGTCTCCCCAGTCTCTCATAAATTTCAGGTCACCGGCACTGACACTCGACGTCGCTACAATAAGACGCCCCAGGGTAATTCCCTATAAGTTGCTCATTTTTGTCCCTTCTTGAGGCCCAAACGCCAAACTCACATGAATACAGAAGAAATGTGATGACAAGATTGACCTCCAACGCCCGCTAAACTGCAGAATGATGTACAATAGAATATGCTGCGCGCACAACAGTTGGGATCAAGTCAAGTGCCTAATGCTGGAGCTTGTTCCCCACCATCGTCGTGAAGCTGTCACCGGTAGCTCGAGGGTTCATTCCGGACCCGACGTAGAACTCGCACTTGAACTTCAAGCACTCCGGAGTCTTGTTGTGCTGGTACACCTGCACGATATCGCCCGTGTGTAGGTGCCCATACACGGCGCGGCCCTTGTCGTCCACTTTCTTCAAATGCTTGCCGTTCACGGTGATACCGTGAGTTGCTGCAGTCCAGATCCCGATCTTCAGCCCTTCTAGGCTCGTCCAGTCCTTGCCCTGTTGAGACAATTCTTCCACGGTACCCTTGCTTGGATCGGCCGAGGAGTAGAAGAAGACTACGAAACCAGTCTTGGGAATTCGCGTATCTCGGCTATCAGGGTAAACAACCGTGTTGTTGGGCTGTCGACCGAAGGACGTCTTACTCTGATCGAGATTGATCATCAGACCCGGAGCGAAAGAATCTGGTGTCGCGATCATCTTGCCTAGACGTTTTGGAGGGGGCCTAATGTTCAGCTCGGACGGAAGGGAAGGCACATCAGCTGCTGGAGATGGTGCCGCGGCCTCGTTGGTGGAGAGTTCAGAGGTGCCGCTGGTGTCGGATGCCCGTACAGTATCTTCGTACGCAGATGCACCAGCCTCGGAATCCCTTCGCGCAGTAATGAAGTTATGTCCGCTCACCCTAGAAGCATACTCCAGATTGTGGGTGCTCGGATCGGCCGGGTCGTAAAATAACGATGCCGTTAACGGCAAGCTGATCTGGCGCTTTGAAGCCGCCGGCCGAGCCTTCGGTGTGGGTTCGCTGATTTGGCTAGGAATCTTCGATCCTTCGTCTAGCGAGCTGTGCTGCAGCATCTCAGGTGTCTGAGGGGTCACCGGCATAGCGGGGCTCTGGGTTCTGGAGATTGGCGAGTGCGGCGATTCCATGTTGAGTTCGCGGACCATGGATTCCGCGCCCAACAAGCTCGGGGACGAGAAACCTCCATCAAGCTGTACATTGACGGTGGACACGTTGTGCTCAGCGCCACCCACTGTGTTGCTAGTTTGGGGCAGCGCGGCTCGTGGAGAAGAATTGGGGGCTTCGGCGGGAGACAGAGCGGCGTGAGCCTGGTTGGTGAGAATACCAGAACTCTGCAAGGCAGATTGACCGATCTCGCCGAACAATCGCTGACGTCCAGATGCGGGCATCACTCTGAAGCTTTCGCCCTCTTCAATCGGTCGCTCGGAGCGAAAAGACGCATCTGTGCTGGGATCGCGGTCGCGAACCTGGTTCCGAGGGTACAACGGATCCGCGCGCACTCGCTTGGGTGCAACCATTTCAAGCAACTCGTCGTCAATGTCCGCCTCTTCGTCAGAACCAGGAAGGTCTTCTTGTCCAATACTCAATTGCGACAATTGCTGTCCAGCATCTTCGGACTCATCTTCCTCAACAATGGACTGCAGAGTTGGGTCAGCGGGTAAGACAGCACCATCCTTCAACCACGGGTGGTTCAAACATTCCCGATCTGTCGGACGCAATGCTGGATCGGTCTGGAGCATGCGGGTCAAAAGATCAATACAGGCAGCTGAAGCGCCTACACGCTGAAGAGGTGCTGTGTTGAGAGGTGTGTTCATGATGTTGTTGTACATCGCCTCACCAGTCTGGTCAGCAATACCCCTGAAAGGCGGCTCACCGCACAGAGCGTTGAAGAGGACACCACCGAAAGACCAAATGTCCACCGATGAGCTGTAGGCGTGGTATTGTTTTGCGCCTCTCCTGCGCTTGGTACCCCTGGAGTTGTTGTAATCGGGGAAGACTTCCGGGGCACAGTACAGGAGGGTGCCGCAAAAAGTTTTCAGGAATGTCTCTTCGTGCTGGACGACCTTCGACAAGCCAAAGTCCGACAGCTTTACTACGAAAGGGTCGATGCTTGCTATGAGGAGGTTATCCGGTTTGATGTCTCGGTGCGTGATCTTTGAGCGATGCAGATAGTTTAGAGCGCTTAACGTCTGCTGTGCCATCATCTTCACCAAGGGCTCCTTCATGGGTCCTCCTTGGTTGAGGAATGCCTGGAGATCGCCGTGTCGCACATACTCCATAATGATGTACAAGTACTCTCCCGCGTCGTAGTACTCCACGAATTCAACGATGTTCGGATGCCGGAGACTCTCCATTATCCTCATCTCGTTGTCAATCTTCTTGTCAAGCTGGCCATTCTTCATGAAACGGCGTTTCTCGAGCTCCTTTGCAGCTAGCAATCGGCCTTCCATCTTGGTCGCGAGTTGGTGGACAGTGGCAAAAGCGCCCTTGCCCAGGACGCCGACGATGTTGTACTTCTCACCACCATCCCACTTCATGGCGGGGCCGGTGTACTGTCTGCTGACCCGCTGGATGGCATTGGTCCGGTCCTCACCAGGAGTGCACTCGGCGATGAAGGCCCGAAGATTCTCGCGGAAGCGGTCCATATGTGTTACCCGCGATGGCACACGGACGATGAACTTGATCATGTCCTCTTCGTTGGTGCTCTGGATGCAGATGATCGAGCCTGAACCTAGCATCCTGATCTTAGCAAAGCGTTCGTCCTTGCACTTCAAGAGTGTGTCGTCCACGATAGTGCCGTTTGTGGACATGTCCTCAAGCATCAATATACCGTCCTTGTTGAGATATATCCGAAAGTGCTGGTTGCTTATGCGCTTTCCGGAGTCTGACCCGAAGACGATATCCGCACTGTTCGAGTTTCTGCCGAAGATAAAGCCCAGCTGCTTCAACCGTAGTGTGCGTGCGGAGGTCATGCGTAGTGCCAGATCGGCGCCTGCGCGTGAGTTCTGACCCAGTCTCTCGCCCTTGTCGTTGATGATTATCGTCTCTTGTTCTTCGATCGATTCGTCCATGGAATCCAAAGCATGGTGGAACAGCACGTGCTGCGGTCGAAACCCCGCCGCATGCTCCACAATTCGAATCGCGGTCGGTGTTGCTGGATGAAGAATGGCTAAGACGTCCGCAATGTCGCCATCGTTCAGGCCCGAGTTATTTCGTCCGAGTCGACGAGGATCAAGAACTTGCTGCGTCGCAGGTTGCGTCTGCTGGGAGTATTCTTCAGGCATCTTGGGTGGATTGAATGGTGAGGGGAATGGAAGTTGATGAGATGGTGCTTTCTTTTGGAGAAAACGTTTTGTTAAGTCGGGTTGGGCGAGCTTTTGCGGGGGACTGGACGTTCCTGGAGGGTTCGAGGTGATTTATAGACTAGAGAGCGGGCCTGTGATAGTTTGCAATGAGCTACCGCACGGACACGGTGATAGTCGCTGGGACAGAAGAGCAGCCTAATCAGCTGATTTCCGGTGCGAAGTCTTGCAAGCTTCTGTTGTGTTAAGCTCGAGTGAATCTCACCAGACTGTTATCACTGGCGCCTCAGCACGCACAATGAAAACAGTACGCGATTGAACCAAGAGCGACTATACGCCTTTCGTGATATGTGATCCAAATCAATGGCACATATGAGAGGGGAACAGTCACTGAGCGGGGGAAGTGAAGTTCCTCTGGTTATCCTCGCTGTCCAATGCTAGATCTTGCCCGCGACTTCCCACTGCTGCTCACTACGAGGAGCACCTACTCGAGCCGGGGTTCTGAAAATATCCCACAATTGTAGTCCTGGTACTCTTGCGCGACCCTTGCAGCTGGTCTATGAATGTGTATGAATATATAGTCGATTTGAGGGGGTTCAGAACGGGATTCCGGGGGCACGAAGTCCAGTCTAAGGCGATTCCACACAACGACGAAATAAGAGGCTTGCGAAATGTGTAAAGAGCGCGGAGAGGCAAAGGTTTGCCTGTTTAAAAGGAATGGGAGGGGAACGACGCGAGGGTTGCCCTAGGAACAGGCACGGCTCTACAGTTCGTCAGCTCATAGTCGGCATGCGCAAAGCGGAAGGCAGCGACTGCAATTGCGATAAGGAAAACAACACACCTCTCAAGCAGGACCAGACGAGCACCAAACGCAGAACAGCCGTTTAGAGTGAAAGAGACTCGAAAGTGAGACTTTCTGGAGAGTCGTTCCGCCCTAGTACGAGGCGCCTTCCCGCGTCATTGGTCAATCCGCTAGCCGTGGATCCAAGTGGGGCCCCGACAGTCGGGTGGGTACTTTCCCAGGCAGCCATCAACATCACGCGTCACGTTCTGCACCATGACGCGACGCGACTTACTATTCATCTATGCATGAATTGCACGCCCTCTTTGAACAACTTTTTATTACATTATCGGAGGAGATAGGCACTACAAAATGGTTATTTTTTCCCAGTCATAGTATTTAAAGGGATTCCGCTCCCAGTCCATTGCTCCATGCAGGTAGCAGTCGCCAATAATCTCGAACTTCGGCCCGGTTATCGTGGGCTCATGATCCGTCTCACGTAGAACAAATGGTGTTTTGCCTCCCTCAAGAAGAAAGATTTTGTCCCCCACCTGCGTATTAGCAGGTCTGAGTCCGATGTGTTGCCTGTGTTGGCTGTATTGGATGTGTTGGCGGCTCATTATCAGAGTACGCGAGATAGTCGCTGTCATGATGGATCTGTCGATGACCGGCAACAACGCTCGTTGGTAGTTGATGTCAGCTCTCTGGTGGAGGCGACTATCCATATACTGTTTAACGCCATTGAACAACAGTTTTTGAACAAGGAAGAGAATATTTCAATGAGTGTGGAGACAGGCTAGATTCCAATGCCCATGTAATGAAGGTAAGCTCATCTTCAGATCTGGCTCGTCGAGCATTGCTGCCATTGGGGGTCTTGCATATAACATCTCCACAGATGAGTCGCCAAAAGTCTTGCCGAAAAACCGTATTCACCTCATTGTCGAATTTTGTCACTGTCTTCCCCCAGTGCGAGAGAGTATCACGCCAAATTTCCCTGATGTCTCCACCCCATTGGATCTCACAGGCATAATCTATGGATCCCAATGCTGACCCATGCAGCGTTAATGCTCTCCCGCCGAAGAGATGTATTGTTTGCGGATGCGCTGCACGATCAACATGATATGCACTATACAGTTCCGTAGCTGCCGCTCGAGCTTCGTAGAACAAGCCACCAGGTGCCCCCCAATCGGGTACCCAAGATGGCAAGTCGTCCCGAAATTTTCTTCCAAGGTCAGTACTGAAGACGGAGAGATTGCTGTTTTCACGAATGCACACAAGCGTTGCCCGGGAATAGACCTCAATTTCGCTCAGAGTGTAGTCAGGGATGATCTCTGTGCTCGTACCTGACCTTGCAATAAGGTTGAGAAGTGCGTAGACTTTGTCGCGTGGATCTGTAGCTCTCCTGTCGCGAAATTTTCGGAGCAATTCCAGCAGCGACCAATCTGGTTCTAATTCGCCCATGCCTCCAGAGTCGTGGCGTTGCGTTTTCATTTGCAACTCTTCGATACCAAGGATCCGGTTGCAGCAATCCGCGAGGACCTTCGCCTGATCCGTGGATAGTCTTGTAACGGATTCCGAGCAACAAGACGTACTGTGGTGGATATAGGGACCCGCAGCACATGCGAATAGCGACCCAGGTGCGGACATCGTCCCATACACAACGAGAATAGTTTGTGCGACCGCTATCTCTTGAACCGTCCAAATACGAGACCACCACGGTGTGAACGGAGGTTGCATCATCTTTCGAAGTGCCTCAATAAGCAATAGCTGATCTTTATCGTCTTTCTCAAGCGTGATCCTGCTTCCTTCTATCTCTTTGTGTCTATGCTCGATTCTCAGCATGGTCACCTCATCCAAGTGCTTTGCCTCACCCAGCTCTTGCAAGAGACAGAAAACTCGATATGCCGCCAGGTCTTTGCGATCCTTATTAGAAGTGGCGGAGGTGGCTCGCCTGGCTCAAAGTGCAAAACTCTAGGAGGTTCATGCCCTCGTGCTTTCCCATCAAGGCGGTCACCGAGATATACAATCACCAATTGACACCGCTCGTATATTAAGCGCATCATCTGCGCCTGAGTTGTTCTTTCACTGTCATCGGCTTGGTTGATGCACAACGCATCAACCCACAGTATTGCTCCATGAGGCTCGTCCTTCAATCGCTCTCCAGATTGACGGTCACCGGAAATATCCTGTTGTTGAGGGATATTGACCGCTTGACGTTCTTCGAACCCCAAACATATGACAGCGCTTGATAGTCTGTATGCGGTTGACTGCGCTCGAGGAATTCACATCATATGGGGTCCGTCCAGTCGCCTGGTAAGAGCCGGACTAACCGTATCCATCCGGGCTCCAGTATGTGTCCGGGATATTCGACATCTTCCGGGTCGCGGTCTACGCTCTTCGGCGATAAGAACATTGCTCGAGAGTGGAGAGGAGAGAATGAACTGCGGTATGTCGCGTTCAGCTGGGGCCTAGAGGTGTCTTACTGATGTGCGCTGGTCATGCATGCACCGCCACGTCCCCGCAAACTGCCTGACTGCCTTATCGCATCTCTGCAGTATTAAATTTAACCTGAGCATGGCGAATCTTCCAAGGCACATTAGCTCTAATCACATCGATAGGTAAAACATGCCCTAATGAGGTGTTCCATTTGTACTCTGAGAGATCAGTCTTAACCAATTCCACCAAATCTTCCTCACTGAGCTTCTCGAGCCCGAGAAGCTCATTGCCCGTCTCATTATACGCAGATTTATACTTCCCACTCAAAAAAAAACAGCCTTGAGTTGCGCAATCATCGTCATCATGTGGAACTGTCCCGAACTCAAGTAATCTACAGTCCTCTGTATCTCCTCCGTAGTATCGATTCTAGTTTCAGTCCACTCCGGCCCAGCAGTCACATATCTCTTCCCTAACGCGACGAGCTTCTTTTGCGTAAGGATGATTTCATGCAGGAACTTGACACCGACCTCGCTGATACTAAGTCAAGTCTAACACTGCAACATGGTGCTACAGTCATCAAGTTCAAGCACCTCCTTCCTGCATGAAGACATGGTGCACCAATGGTGAAGCACGACGCGGATATGCATGGATTCTAAGGTATATGGCATCCTCAATCATAAGTTCGATCGCAAAATGTATGTGTCTAGCTGTATCCGATCATATCGCTTACACGGTTACTTAGAACAGAAGAACAAGTGCTTACCCAACTCAAAGACAGTCTGAAGAACTTTTTTCCCCTCATAACTACTATACACAATTCAGAAACCAGTATTCAAGCTGCAATCATCACAAGGCGCAAGGCTGAGCCCTTTGCGCCAAATACGAAGAGGCGTCCCCAAGCGAGGAGTCCACGTCACATATGCCGCCACTGCAAGACACCTCCAACGCAGCACAGCCAGCACCTTGAACTTGTCCAAATGCATATCCCATCTTCATGACATTATGCCCTCCCCCTCCACACCCACAACGTGGCAAATCGATATGGCCCACATCACAAGGCTGAACCCACGCCCCACACGTCCAGCCCAAACAGTGAAGCTGTCGAGAACGCATCTTCATGCCCAATGTGAACATGTATTAGAACGACCCGTCCATCCAAGACTCATACTTGCTGTGCCTTGCGACGTTTTCTTTTGCTTTCCTGGCGACGCGGACTGCGGAAAGATGTTCCGCTTATCACATCTTACCTTGAGCATGGCCCTGTTCACCTATCTCACCACCACCCTATGATGATTCGTAGGCGTCTTGGTCATGGCGCGATGTCTTCGTCCTCCCTGCGCAAAGTCCTGATTTGCCAGCGACGCAGCCATCGACGACAGGCATTTGTCTTGGAATACTCTTGCTGAGGGCGCGAAACTAGTCCTCTAGCGATGCGCTGGTCGTGTGCGCTGGCATACTGAGGCCGCCCTCTTAGCCTTACAAGGCACCTAGTGCCCTCCACACACGTGTAAATCTTCTTACTTGGGTTTCACACAAGCAGGCAGCGGGCGGCGGTGCAGCTATGACTCGATACTGGCCGGAGCCTCTTGATGCGCTGGCGACCAGCGCAGAGCCGCGGTTCGAGTATGGCGGCGATGGATGTCGGTCCTGAGGTCCTGAATCCGAGTGGTCAAAATTGTGGTTGCAACCAGGTTTGCGGTGCAGACTCTTGTTGTACTATCATTTTATCCTTGTAGTTGTGCTGGAGCTAGAGAGTCGGAATTGGACTTATCGCAGACTTTACCCGAGTGTGTCTATGTTGGATAATGGATTCGACTTACCAGGAATGGTACGAGCCTTTCGCAGAGGACCATGACGAGGTTTGTATGATGTAGACGCTCGCTGAGGAATGGAGAACTGATGATACTATAGATTTATGGTGCCAGTGAAAGAGATGTTAATCGAGCTGGTCAACAACGAGACCAGAATACAAACAGCGACACGGCGTCAAGATACCTCGACTTCAACCTAGCATCAAATACCCTCACGATGCCAGACTTACCACCATCACTGCTGGCTGCCACAGAGAACTATCCAACGGTGCCCAAGTTACGATCCAGTAATTTACGACAGCTTCGCCAATGCATTAGCAGAAGACGACGAAGTGTACAATCGAGCCGCGGCCAGTATCCCATTCTCTTTCCATCATCGCAGTCTTCAGTCACCACATATACCCAACGGCCTTGATATGTGGAATTGGACGAAAGTTTTTCAGAAGGCTCTCCGTCTCAAAGGATAGACTCAGCGATGGGAAGCGTTGATGGTCTTTCCGAGCTAGCTGATCCTGTGTTCGCGGAGGACTGCAAGGTCGATGCTGGCGAACCTTCACGCTCTTTACAGTACCATTTAATCCAAATGAAGAGCAGAGCAGAATTGAAAGAAACAACTCTACCATCGCCCTCTAGGTCCGTAAACCCAAACCCACCATCACGAACAATACTGATAGCTTACCTTTCCCCAGCAGCGAGGATAACCGCACACTATCCTGCCACCTCTGTCCCGAAAAACAATACACCGGAACATGGGCCCACCGCAATCTAAGTCGACACATGGAAACCACGCATGCCCCTTGTCCCGCACCAGACGGTGTGAAACAGATCCGTTGCAGCCACGTCAAGTGTGAGAAGACGTTTAACCGCAAAGACGCTCGGCTGGTCCATGAGAGGAAGAGTCATCCTGACTTGAACCGGTCGCCGCCGATGAAACGGAAGAGATCTGAGGATCTGTAGTGATATATCGGGAAACCCGGCACTGTTCAAGCGGATATGACTTCTATTTTTACCTTAACTTTTTTTTTCTTTTTTGCGATCCTGAGGATAGGATTTTGGCGTTCGAAGGATGCGTTGGGGCTTCCTGTCGGCGTCCATGGTGTCTTGGGTGAAGTCGTCAAGCCATGGTGTACATCATATGCGTTCTTTTGTTATACTGACACTCTCACAACTATTTCGGCGTCAAGAATCCGGGGTTCCAAAAATAAAATAGACAACCGTTGAACCGTGCAGTCCCGTTGATCCAAGCCGTGAAACAAGTCAGAGTGTTTCCCCACACACGGGATCGCTCACGCAGCGCAAGGGAGCCAAATCGCGCTGCTGGGGCTAGTAGTCGTGAGCTCTTGTGACGCGTGTAAGAAGACCTCCGCGCGGTTATCACGCCCGGTGCTAATTCGAACATGTCCGAACGTTTCGCAAGAGCTATCGACGAATCGTGGGACACTACCAGAGCCGCGGAGGTTCTTTAATTAGCTGGGTCCGGATACCGATACTGGTGCACGCCTATTTTGCCACCATGAAAAGTCTTCGCGGTGTCTGACTGACGTGGAAGACCCCAAAGGCGGTTCTCGGGTTTGGCCTCGAGGCTCACGGGAGATACGAGACCGATGGGAGAGGCTGGTGTGGGTGAGATTACTATAGCTCGGCTAGGGCTCTTAGGATCGATAGGTCATAATCCTTGACTTTGGAAGACATGAGGCTCAGCCGCGGGGCTGCGAAGCCGTTACCCATGGATCCGCCTTTGAATAAGCGCCATACCCTGCACTGTGTGTTACGTCGCATCCCACGTCAACTAAAACTGACATTGCGCTAAGTGATAGTTGCTCCAGAAGCCCGATACGTTTGAGGTCAGATGCCTGGATTGTGGAGGCCGCAATCATGCGGACGCACGTAGTACGGCTTTTTCTTCAGAGTAGGTGAACGTGATTACAGTGTAGCACTGTTTGGGCCTCCTCACCGCCGTTTCGCACGCAATGAGCGTATTCGTCCTTTGATGCATTGCTGCAAGAGGTGCATGGCGCAGATTCACTTCTTCGTGGTCTGCAAAGTTGGTCTAGGATCGACAAGCGAAGAGGCGTTGTCCGCCACGGTTCGAGAAGGGCAGTCAGTCCAATACAATGGGGGGCGCACATGTCAGACAGCCCGTGCAACGCCATTGTTCCACTTCAAGTCTATTCCTGGCATGTAGGTACTCTTCTGGCCATGATGATCATGAAAAGGTCCATTTGAGGACTTGTTTTGACGGTCCATGTTGCTCCGTCTGATGCTTCAGTAGTGTGGAGAACACTTTATTTGTAATGGTAAAAGCAGCGCACCTTCTGTTCATCTTGTATACGTTTTACCTGCAGGGCTGAACAATGTCATTCAAATAGTGCTGGAATGTGCCAAGCTGCTGCTGGGACTGGGAATCGAGCTCCAGCCACTTGAAGACTTCCCGATGCAGACGGTCAACCGGTCGAAAATAAGGTTATGAACGAGCTCATGCGGGGCGACGCTTACGCTCTGATGCTCAATGCTCTAGTGCAGTACTCGTCATACGTACCCGTCGACGGGGAGTGACAACTTACCTGTTGGTCGAGAGAACTGTGCCGCAGCTGTTGCTAAACACAAGCTCTGCAGAACGCTGCACGATCAAGGGTTGCATTCCTTTTGTTTCAACTTTAATATCAATAGGCTGAGAGGGAAATCCCTGGGGCGGGCAGCGATATCCGACTCCAATCAAGGTAAGGAACGGGCCGAGATTGGGTCGGCCCCAAGGTGTTACGCGAAGGCTGGCCCCGAAGCAGACGCGCAATCCGGGCGGTAACCGTATGGCCACGAGCGGGAAGCGAAATCACTTTTTTATCTGCAACTTTGTAACAAAGCTCGTCATGTCCCTTTCTGGAGCCTATTACTCAAGGCGTGAGGTCTTTGTTGGCTTCGCTTGCGCGCGTGTGGGTGCCAGTGTCTGAGATGCCATGCATAATGCTTAACATGGCACTTCTCTGGTGGGGTTGAGAGTTTCTATCGTCTACACCAGAGCATACACTCAGCTACCTAATGGCCGAGGCCAGTGCGTATCGACAGACTGTCGTTGGTGCAAGACCAGCAAAGCAGCCACAGCAAGGCGCTGCCGCTGAGATTTGCGAGTGTTTACAAGCTCTATTCAGACAGGAGGAAGGCGGTCATCCCGCAGTCGGGATTGGCTATTCCATGAATACATCTTTTGCTTCTAGTGCGTTCGAAGCTGTCTGAGAGCAGAAACATCTTCGCTGTCGGTTGCGCGGGCCTACCGAAAGACATCGCGATGTGCGTACCCTGACAGTGGCTGTGGAGGCCACCTGGGGTCGTTGTTTCTATCCGAATATAGCTCGGAGGTTGCTGATTAGGTCGCAGCGGGAAGAGACAGCCCTGCCCGTGCTCCTTTGTGTCTGCATGATGGTAAAAGTAGACTAAAGCTCATGGAGAATAGCGATGTGATGTGACATGTCGTACCACTCCGACTGGGGTCATGATTGAGTCGAGCAATGGCACCGGCTCGTTCATTGCCTGGAGAGTCGGTCATCATAACGGTCTAGGACAGGAGTTGCTCGTCGTACAGCTGCAACATTTCAGGCGTGCCTTTGAGTGAATCCGGCCAACTTTTCGCAGCTCTTGTGTACCCTAACATCATTCTATTTCTACAACCCCACTGCTCGCCTGGTCCGTGAGTAGCGGCTTCTGACTCTAAAGTTCGACGATAGCAGACCCAATTTATTTATCTTCCTGAGTTCCTCAACAATTGGAACGAGACACCCTCTTGAAGTCCATTCAGTGACATCTGCTTTTGTGAGTACATAAACAAGCTTGGTGTTGCAAAGTACTAACAATGTTTGTTGCTAGTGATCTGTTTAGGTCAATATCTGAACTTGCCATTATTGCATTGCACTCCATATTCGTGGAAAACTTCGATTCGCCTGTCCAAGATCGACCGAGTGTTCGCACTTTGTACTGCCAAAAGAACTACACGCTCTTGTAAACCCTATCAGGCCTGGTAAAGGGTATCTTTGGCCACAGTGATCAGATATCGGAGTTCTGCGGCCCCATTGTAGAACCACAAAAGACCACAGACTGTAGCTCACGCTGAAAGAGGTGAAGAACAATGAGTGGTAGTCGGGAGCGTGTTGATCAAAACATGAACTACTATTACCCACAGGAGAGAGTGGAGCAAGGGTGGCAACAACAGCCGGACACAACCAGGCAAGGACGCGGTCAGAGTTGGATTGGCGACTCTGCAGAAACTGCTCATTGGGTGAATGCGGCACCGGTCGGGTATCAGTCAAGCACTCCTGGAGAAGGGTGGAATGTTGGAACCAAACATGGGTTTGACAACCGAGCTGTTCTGGGCCAGCAATATCCCCAGGTAGCGTCAGGCTCGACGTCTGCCGAGATGTCGATGAATGGGAACCTGCCGCAACAGCAGGCTTTTCTAGACAGATCAGGAGTGTTGCTTGGGTCTGATGTACCCTACCAGTTCCCACCCTACAACCCGAGGTTCGTAAAACACCAGTTTGGTCGGCATCATCGAAGTGTGAACGAGACGGCTAACAGACACAGTCCACAAGGTATTGGCCATGGTTATGACAGAGTTTCGAGGTCATATATACCTTCTACCGGGGGTTTCGAAGATCCAAGCAACTTTTCATCCGACCCAGGGTAAGTTCACGTCTTGATAATACGGGGCATTGCTGATCCATTGAAGCAGACAATCCCATGAGTTCTGGGGCGACCATTCCGCAGCACCCCACTCGCCATACTCGTATAGCTCGTCCGGAATAGAGCCATACTCTCCGCCACCTGAGCTTCATCTAGGCAATGTGAATGACAGCGTGGCTTGTCCTCATGGTTGTGGAACAATTTTGACTGGTGTTCATGCGTTTGGAAACCTGACCCGCCATCTCAAAACGAAAGGATGCTCAGCCTCCGGGAAAGCAAAAGTCGAGCACTTGTGTCAAGTGCATGGTTGCGGCAGGAAGTATTCTCGATCGGACGGCTGTAAGTAACACCTCTAATTTCTTTTCAGCCTCTGAAGGCCATGTTGAATCCGACGTTATTGTTTCGATTGCTGACCATACTCCCCACAGTAAGAGTTCACATGCGGAGGCGACACGGTGCTGGTTTGCCACAGAAACCCGGGCTGCTCGATCAAAGTCATGATGACGAGCCATGATTGTTTGTTACGATAGCACGTTGTCATGTTTTGCGCTTTTAGTGCAATCGTGGTCATACCGTCGCTGTCGGGTCAAGTGCTGGCTTGGCGTGGAAGTTCACGTGAAACGATTTTCTTTGGTATTTATAGACAATCTTGTGCTGTATCGATGTTGCTGTTAAGAACTTGCGGATCAAGGACACGTGCCATCGACGCGCGTCGGTAGGCGTGTGTCGTATTGAGTTGCATTCCAATCGAAACTGAGGCATCTTGAGTCGTATGCTCATAAATTTGATAGCGATGTTAGCGCAAAAGAATGACCTACTTGTGTTAATATGCCGTCTCGTGTTGGGTGTGGTGGTGTGGTGTAGGAAGGCAAGTTGTGTCAAATGGCTAGAGCTAAAACGCCCGAAAGTCATGCCTGCCGGCCACGTTATATTAGCTTCACAAATCGGGGCAATCGAGCAGGAGCAACATGATGCAAATCTACATCTTCCAGCGCAAATGTTTATCTCGAAGAGCAGTCATAAATATTTTTAAATTCATTGGTGTAGACAGTAAGGTCTTAATCTGCGACCGTGGCCATGAGTATATACATCTTAGACATTAAGCATCAAGGCTCTGTGAGATAATAGGAAAAGTATGTGCGACGTCGTCAGTGGTATAGCGTAACGTAGATGGTCAAGATGAAACGAAACGCCCAAAAAACAACAAACTACAAAAGGTTGGACACGCATGCCCTAGTAGGAGATCATTAGCGATTGTAAAGTTTGTGAAATCGACTTTTCAAATACTCGTAACTCGCCCGCCAGGTCCGGTAGATCTGTACGGCCTCAAGTTGATAACCGACTCCAGTTCTCTCAGCATGTTGGTACTCGCGTCTCGCTGTTCACGTGCTGAAGCTTGTCGGACCCTGTCTTCTTGTATCTTCTGCATACGTTCTTCACGCGACATTGTGGCTCGAGTTTTGGGTATCGCAATCGCTTCGAAAACTTCGTCGTCGGAGTTGCTGCCCTGGTCGCTCGATGGCGCACTCTGCTGGGGGCTCAGTAAGTCTCCATTGAGGGCGCGCAGGGCATCGGACGGACTGCCTTCATCAACGGCAGTCAGGCCACCTAAGCTTGGAACTGGCGAGCGCAAGCCACTGGATGCATGTGAAATGCGACGCTCTTGGCGATCTATGTTGAGTACCAATGCGGTCTTGCCTGCCTCCCAGGCTTGCACTAGGCTCTTAATGTCGGCACCAATAGACTCATATTGGGTCATCAAATGTCGCCCAAGTTCATGAACATCTTCTGTGTCTTCTAGGCTCTTGTTCGTTTCTTCTCGAAGTACCTGCATCTTGGCCTGTAGACCTCTGATACCTTGCGACAGGCCTGACAGCTTACGGACCGAATTGCGCAATTTCTCCTTGCCGGGCGTAGGCGTGATATGAGCTGGTGAGGGTATAATGAACTGCTCCTCTTCGGACAGGATGTTGTTCAAGTTTTCGCTCCACTGTCCAGTTGGGCGAGCCAGACACTGCATGGAGTCTACCACGGTTGACCACCGAGCGAAATCAGGCTTCCCACCATCCGCCTCGAGAGCCAACAAGGAGCACAAATAGACGCGACGGAGGGTAGAAAGGCGATATTGCAGAGTGCGAAGTGCCTTCAGGGTCTCGTGATCTTCGAATTCAGTCTCAGAGTAGCCCAAAGCCGCTTCCTGCAGATCCGGGTTGCTGATATCGTAGACATCTAGATACTTCTCGAGATCATCCTCCAGGATCAGCTGCTTTAAGACTCCACACTGCTCTACGAAGATTGGGACGACGTCAGCAAAGGCGGCTCGCAGACTTCGCCGTAATCGCTGACAGCGACGAGACTGGCCCTTTTCTTCAATGCGCGAGATTGGCGGTAACGGACTGCTCCTGTGGAGCGTTAGCGGTAGGTCATATAAGCAGGCTTCTACGGCCGAAGCGGCCACCTACAGTCTGTAGCCCCTTGAGACAAGCTCGACTTCTTGGATCAATGCGAGCGCAGATGACGTCGAAGCCTCGAAAGCTTGCAGGTTTGTGACCACGGCAGATGCGCCCTCGACTGCCTCTTGTCTCAGATACTGCAGCCACTGCCTCCGCGTGTAGCCGTAGACGGCTGTGGCAACGGAAACAAGCAGCAGGAAGACCAGCGACCATTTCCCTTTACTGATCTCCGGCTGGCGCCGCAACCAATGTACAAGCCAAACCAGGGAAAAAGCCGTCGTGCCTGTGAGTGCTGCTCCAGTAGGGCTTATCGTCGCAACCTTGAACTCTTGTGGGCCAGGACCGCCAGGGGAAGCAAAGCTGGGTATGGTTGCGGTTCGCAAACCCTCCTGCCCCCCAAGAAGTTGAGAGGCGACTACGAGATAGCGAAAGTGTTCCAGAAATCGCTCGTTGTCGGCGCGGCCAAGACGCGAATTGACTGCTTTCTGTCATTCATGTTAGCGGATGCGCCTGGCTTGGAGCATGTGATATCATACAGAGCATGCTGTGTGGATTCGTGAAATTGAGCCGTGACGCTCATGGATTCGTATGGGGTCAGGCAGCCTGTTGCGTATCCTGGACTGCAGCGTAGAGGGTCCTCGTGGTGCGAAGCTGAATATCTCGGGTGAAGTCGATGCCGTGGGGGACGACGGGCGGGACGGTCCTCTACCTTCGCCTGGTGCTTCCGTTAGTTCCCGATGCATGGCTATGATAGCACGTGCGAGGGCGTATACCTTCCAGAAACTCGGCCAGCGGCGAATCGTCGAGTATCACGTTCTCCATGTTGGCGCTACCTCATCGTGCGAGTTCGATGGTCCGTCGAGTGTGCGCTTCGGTGCGTCGTTCCTGCTCCTTCTGGGTGTTTGCGGTCGGATTCAGGTAGAGTGTCGAGCGTTGATCCTGCGAAGAGTGTGGTCGTGAAGCATCAATCGTGAATGAGGTTTGCGGTGAATGTGAAGGTGTACGTGAAAGGGAGGGCACACGGTGGTTGCAAGTGACCCGGAGATGAGCTGCGGAGTTGTGGCCATGTGATTGGCGACAGGGGCGGCTTCACCCATCTGGGGCGCCTGCCACGGCAAGCGAGACCCCTCGGATGTTCGACGTCAAACAAAACAACCCACCCCTGTTTACGGATACGCGCGCGTCAACGTCCAAGTGTATCTGCAGCCTTGCCGTTGCTATCAAGAGGCTTGCAGCGTACCTGCAGCCTGGAACTTTGTTCTGCATGCCATATCAGCCGTTGGTGGGGCATCACATGGATACTCTCGAATGAAACCACTGCCACATCCGACGTCTCCCGCGAAGTCTCTCTGTACCGGACGGCTGTCGTATGGCCGTGCTGACGTGCCATGGTATAACTGCAGCCTTTCGGTCTAATCTTATATACTCGTGGTATCGTTAATCTCCAGCATCTTCTACCTGGCAGCCTGGCGTTAAGGCCATCATGCGGGCACAGTATCAACCTGGCTTCTAGGACACCACATATGTCATGAGAGATTAAAACTTGCTCCTGGACTCCTCAGACGAAGCCTCTCCTATCGTGTGTCTAATTACAGTAATAGGAGCGCAGCAGTGCATTTCCATGGCATGTAGCGCACGGGCCCATGCCTAGCCACGTTAGTTCTCCCGCGCCGGCCTTCCAGTTCCACCACCTGTGGACCACCAGCACTTCACCCCAGACAGTCTGCGTATCGACACTGCTAATAATACCGCGAACGATCCTCGGGCGATAATTTACGGACGACTTGCTCATCTTAGGCACACTTCGTCTTTGCGCGACCGACATAGCCGAACCGAACGCCAGCCAAGCTTCGCGAACTGCACCCACCGTCGATTCAACCATCAATCACCGGATGCTCCGATATCTGTCTTTGTCTTAGCGATTGAAAAAGACACTGTTCAGTGCCATACATTACACAATGGCTGCACCTGCACTTGTTGAAGAGCGCGAGCTGGCTATCAACCCCATAGTTGGCACCAGCGTACAACACAACAACCAGGTATGCTACCGCGATCGACATCATAATTGACACAGATCATTCGTGGTGTCATCGTCTCTTATTATGCGCCTATGCAATCTCACACTTGGCACAGGTCATATCCAACATTCGTAATCTCACCGCATCGCTGTTCGGAGTCGCTGCAGGCACACTCGGCCTCGAGTCACATCCAGGCTTCATTTTCTACCTCCTAGGCACGCTTGTCGTCTCTGTATTACTGTTCGCCCTAAAAACAGATGGAAAGCCAGGCGCATACTTTTACAGGCCGCTGAGCGATCTGTGGTTAGGCGATGTGTTTGGAGGGCTTAGTGGCTTTGTGCTTACATGGACACTGTTCTACGGATTGGTACGGGCATAACACGGCAAGGATTGAAAGATGAGGCATTTGGGAAGAATATAGGTGGAGCTTGTGGGACAGTTATCTCTATCATGAGCGCACGAAATGTTCCAGCTATCAGATGCAGCGAAAGGGCGAATGAGACAATACCTCTGTGACTCAGAGACGCCGAAGCTATATGCATCCTAGTAGAAGATGTTGGTCTCATTTGCACGGCTGTGTACTTCACGAGAAGTTCACGTCGGGAACTTTACATACAACAGAAGACGGCATACAATGCAGCGCCCAGCCTTTGATCAAAGATGGCCAAAACACATCTGGCTCCTTTCGAAGAATACTAAGTAGTACGACATGTTCGAAGCACTCTATGCTGTAGATTCATAGCGCAGCGTCCGCGACCGCGTGAAATGAGAACCAGACCAGCTCTTCCGAGTCACAAATGTCTTGAAAGTGCCAAAATTTAGTCTTGTAGTGAACTAGCCAGTCAGCGTGAGATTCACGCGGTTTACACACATACCTTGGCATTTGTCGTCTGTGCTTGCTTAATTGATTTTTAGCGCGTAACTGACGCGCTTTCCCACCAGAATCGCGTCCCCGCCTCCATTGTTGCCTCGAACATCGCACAACACCCCTCTACAACTTCCTCTCTTCTTCTCGTCGTTGTCAGCTTGAAAATCCTTTAATCAATCAATACATAGTCAACAGTATGTGCTCTCAACATGCTCCGCAAGGTCACTCAGCTAATACCCCACAGTGCTTGAGGCCCGCCTAGAACAAGCCAACCTGCTGAAGAAGGTATGCCAAACTCGCTCTACCTGAAAGGTACTTCATCTAACGACAGTATAGCTCGTCGATGCTATCAAGGACCTGGTCCAAGACTGCAACTTCGACTGCAATGACTCCGGCATCGCCCTCCAGGCCATGGACAACTCCCACGTTGCTCTCGTCTCCATGCTGCTGAGATCCGAAGCCTTCACCCCCTTCCGATGCGACCGCAATATCGCCCTCGGCATTAATCTCGGATCCCTCACCAAGGTTCTCCGTGCCGCACAGGGCGAGGACATCTTGACCCTGAAGGCAGAGGACGCGCCTGATGTCGTCAACCTCGTCTTCGAGAATGCGAGCAGCGACAGAATCAGCGAGTACGATATCAAGCTCATGGATATCGACCAGGAGCATCTTGGTATTCCCGAGACGGAGTATGCAGCAACAATCACGATGCCCGCGGCTGAATTTCAGCGTATCTGCAGAGATCTGAGTGCACTTTCCGAGTCCGGTATGTTTTTTTCCCACAGGGCACGATCTCGGTGTTGGGTCTTCACATCGTCGCTCTTTGCAGCGGTGTTTGAGTCAGTGTTTGCGCATTCCGGCAGCCAATGTCAGCAATGGATGTTTGCCTTGCGTCAGCTCGCCTCTTTCGACACCGATCACGCACGCATATAGCACATCAAGAAAAAGGACTAAGCTAACATTTACAGTCTCGATCGAGTGCACAAAGGAGGGTGTCAAATTTGCCTGCCAGGGTGACATTGGCTCCGGCTCCGTCCAGCTGAGACAGCACAGCAGCGTAGACAAGCCCAGCGAGAATGTCGAAATCGATCTGACTGAACCCGTCTCCCTTACGTTCTCCTTGAAGTACCTAACGAACTTCTGCAAGGCGAGCGGGTTGTCCGACTCAGTCAAGCTCTGCCTGTCGAGCGAAGTTCCCCTGCTTGTTGAGTACGGTATCCAGAACAACAGCTATCTGAGGTTCTACCTCGCCCCCAAGGTAAGTCACATATTCAGTTCCAAACTCCGAATAATCTCTAACGAGCCTAGATCGGTGACGAGGAGTGATTATGTAATGACTTCATTTGGCATGAGCGATATGTTCTCAAGAATCATGTGGGGGATTATCGGCGCGGAGTCTTTGAAATGCATAAGAAGCGTCTTTGGTTCACTGGTTTGGCGTGTTGGATTAGCAAAAGACGCGCACTCGGAGGCGCTCCGCGCATTAGTCGCAAAAGAAAGGGTCCATCAGCCCCACCCGCCTTTTTCACGTCATCGCGCGCGGGAACAGATAAGGAAATCAACAAAGTACAACACAGCACTCTGCGCGCCTGTTTTGAAACATCCCTGTGCTGTTCAGACTGACTACAGTTCCGATCTTACGGATATGGCCTCTGCCGAACTCATCCCAGACACGCGCGTGCTCGCAATCGCCAGCCATGTAAGACTCACACGCACACAGCGAGACCGAGGCTTCAACTAACCCGCGACAGGTCGTCCATGGGTAAGCTTTCCCCCACGCGACAGTGTGCCACTGGCTGAACATGTACTGAGGTATGTCGGCAACAAGATGGCGACGTTTGTGATGCAATCCTTGGGCTGCGATGTGTCTGCAATCAACACGGTGCACTACAGTAGGTATCCTTCACCACTACACGTTTTCCTGAAGTATCATAATGGCTAACCATGACAGGCAATCATACCGCATACAAGCAGGTTAAAGGCACGAAGACGTCCGCCGAGGAGATGCTCAACCTATACGAAGGTCTTCGCCAATCGAATCTGACAAACTTCGACGTACTATTGACCGGTTACGTACCGAGCGCCGAAGCCGTGCAAGCTATAGGGAAGATTGGCAGAGATGTCAAGTTCAACGCTGGCACGAAGCCAGGAAGCTTCTTCTGGGGTGAGTAGGGACACAGCGGGTGCGCCACGTAGGGCTGACAGGGACAGTGTTGGACCCTGTCATGGGTGACAACGGCAAGCTCTACATTCCAGAGGACGAAGTACCTGAATACAAGGCACTGCTGCGCGAGGCAGACCTGATCCTGCCCAACCAGTTCGAGGCAGAGTAGGTCGTCAACCACATCAGCCCCAGGACTGCCAAATGCTAACACATGTGCAGGCTGCTCTCAGACACACCGATTACCGATCTGGAATCTCTCGCTGCTGCTATACAAGTACTTCACAAGACGTATCAGGTGCCTCATGTCATTATAACTTCTTTGCGCCTAACACGAGACAACCACACTCTCTCCTCAAGGGCACCTTCCAAGCCCGTGTCCACTTCAGGATCTGGCCCACACACCCCATCCGAAGCACAGTCACTTGATGCCTCGACCTCGCATCCTTCAACATGGCCAACATCATTATCGTCCGAACAGTCACAAAACCCAGAGATAAACCTCGAAGAGGTGGAGAATTTGACCATTATTGGCTCAACCGCGACGTCCGATTACAAGCCCCGCCTGTTTAGGATAGATACCCCTCAATTGCCTCTATTCTTTTCCGGCACCGGCGACATGTTCGCCGCCCTCACGGTCCCGCGCCTTATCGAAGCCGTACAAGCCACGCCAGAACTCTCCTCCAAACCCAGTTGGCGCTCGCCAGACGACGTCCCCGCCGAAGAACTCCCTCTCGCCAAAGCAGCCCAGAAAGTACTCGCATCGATGCAAGCAATTCTCACCAAGACAACGGAAACATGCCAGGAGAAGATGAAATCGTACGACACGCGCGCAGCAAAAGAAGGACGAGGCGAGGGCGACGAGGCGGACGAGGAAGTGGCGAAGAAGAGACATCTCGCACTTACGAATGCGAGCGAAGTCAAGGTCGTGCGGTATGTCAAGGAGTTGCTCAACCCGCCTAATCTGGAGCGTTTCAAGCCAAAAGCTGTGCCCGAGGGAGCAAAGGTTCCGGACCATGTTGGAGAGAGGCAGGCGGATGAATTGAAAGTGCTGCATTTGGGCGTTGGGCCGAAGGGCGAGGGTGCGGTCCAGGTGCAGGAGGGAGAGACGACGGATAAGACGCTGAAAGGTGGTTTGGAGGGTGAGGTTGAGACGGACTTGAAGGAGAGCGGGTTGAAGGATGTTGAGCCAAATGTGTTGGAGTCGAAAGAGGCGGAAAAATTCAGGGGAGAATCATCGAAGGAGAAGCCATAGCTCGAGAGTAGTATCGAGGGAATGCTTTGATATATGCTTTTTGATTTATGCTACTTCGTATTGTCGTACACCTTACGCTCATGCTTTTTATGCAGTCCGTATGCTCATGAAATGTTTAGACCTCTATATCATGCTTCGTCATTTCTTTTCTTCCTCAATGTAGTCTCTTCAAGCCGCAGCCGCCCCAAAACCCCCCGTACTCCCAAACCCGCCCGCTCCCCTCACACTCTCCTCCAACTTCTCCACGACTACTACCTCGGGCATGACAATCTTCTCCACAATCAACTGCGCAATGCGATCCCCCACCTTCACCTCGAAATCCGCATCCGACAGATTCGCCAGTATAACGCCCACGGGCCCGCGGTAATCGGCGTCAATCACGCCCGCCATGGTGTCGATGCCGTGTTTGTTCGCAAGTCCCGAGCGCGGGGCGACGCGGCCGTCTACGATCAATCTCGCATCAGCAACTGTCCTGTGCAGTGTGGTATGGAATGGTATGAGAGGGATGGAACTCACACGTCCCGACCGGCACACTGATACTGATATCCGTGGGTACCAGCGCCCTCCCCCTCGCCGGCACCACCACATCCTTGGCCGCATACAAATCATGCCCAGCGGCGTACACGCTTCCCTTGGTCGGGGCGCGCGCCTTGTCGCTCAGCAGCAGAACTTGCAATTGCTGCTCGGCGCTCGCAGCGGCGAGTACGCTGGGCGCAATTGGCGCGGGGGGTTGCAGTGCGGCCATGTCGATTGCGCTGGCGAGCGGCGTGGGCGTTGCGGTGCCCGAAGCGGTTGTTAGGGGCGAGGGGTCGATTACTTTTGTGCGTTTTGGGAGCGGGGAGTTTGGGAGGGAGGGGGGGTCGTGGGTTACGGAGGGGGTGGCGGCGGAATCGGTGGACATCTTTGAAAGGAGAAGGGAGGGAGGTTTGTTTGAGAAGGCGGTGAGGGTCGGGATGTGTTGTTGGAGGGGTTGGCGCGTCGCGTTGGTGGGGTTGTGGGGAAAGTGCGACGCGTGGGCACGGGCCTCGAGGGTGTATGGCTTTAGGTTCAAATGTGTAGAATTTAGTTCTTTGGAATTGAGACACGGTCATAATGGACTCTCCTTCATGTATGCTGCATTTATCCAGAAGAAGAGAACTTGCGTTTGATAGGCATCGGGCAGAACATGTGACGAGAAGTAATCGTTCCGCTCTTGCATGATATGATTACTCGAGATATCGATAGAATCGTGATATTGGTACCGCCTATCAGACTTGGGCTATTTTCATCTACAGCTTCGCCTTGACATCCTCTGGCTTCGCAACCTCTACCATCGTCTTGCCTGCGTATCTTAGTTAGCTCTCCGTTCAATCGCACGCAAAACATCCACTTACCAATGTTCTTTCCCTCGAACAACCCCACAAGCGCTTCTTCCGCCTTCATCACGCCGCCCTTGACAATCGTCTCTTGTCGCTTCAACTTGCCCTCTGATAGCCATTGAGCGAGCTGCTTCTTGGCCTCTGGGTACTTCTTCTCAAAGTCAAATACGACGAAACCCTGCATCCGGATACGCATGGAGATGAGCATCATGTAGTTCTGCAATTGTCAATACGGATCTCATGAATGAAAGTTTACACATACCTTCAGTCCCTGCGGCTTCTTCTTGTTGTAGTCGCTAATCGCACCACACTGGACAAACCTCGCGAATGGCTTCGCCCTGCTCAACGCGAGATCGAGGATTTCTCCACCAACTGTAACACCACGTTAGCAAAGCCAATGATCCCCCTCTTCAACACGCAGAGCTTACCATTATCAAAGTAAACGTCAATCAAGCCCTTCGTAGCCGCTCTAAACTTCTTCTGAAAGTCCGGATCCTTGTAGTTCAACGCCTCATCGAAGCCCAACTCCTCCTTCAACCAACGCACTTTGCTATCCTCCCCGGCCAGCCCCAAAACCGTCGCGCCCTTGATCTTCGCAATCTGCCCCACCACACTCCCCGTCGCGCCCGCCGCGCCCGAAACAACCACAAAATCCCCCTTCTTCACCTGCCCGATATCCAAAATACCAAAATACGCTGTCAACCCCGTCATGCCACACACGCCCAGCGCATCCGTCGGCACCGCGCCATCCGGCAGGTCCAGCGGATCGAGGTGTTTGGCTTTCAACACGGCGTACTCGGTCCAGCCGCACATGCCCGTGGCGTAGGATCCGACGGGGAACTTTGCGGATTTTGAGGCAACGATCAGTCCGATTCCTGTGCCGCGCATCACGGCGCCGATTTCGACGGGCGGAATGTACGAGCGTGTGGGGTTCAGCCAGCCGCGCATGGCTGGGTCGAGGGAGAGGTAGAGGGTTTGGAAGAGGACTTCGTCATCTTTGAGGGAGGAGGGGGAGGGGATGGAGTGCTGTTGGGGCGTGAAGGTTTTGCCGGCTTCGATGGCTGCCTGGGGGCGTTCTGCAAGGTGGATGGAGGTGTATTGTGGCATTTTGAAGGACACGGGGTGGTACTGCTTCCTACTTTTTTTCTGATGAGATGCGCTCTTGTATACGCAGCTGAGGTGAATGGAACTGGCGAGATGTGGTATAAGGCAGGGTGACGATGACGAAGCCTGAAACTCAACGGTCTGGAGTTTTACAATAAATCTCAATCCTATTTGCACTGTCTACGTTGCATACCGTGCTTTCAGGAAAACGCCGCGCGGAGCCGTCGTGGAGTGAAAGAAGGCGGAGAAGTACCTCGGCTCGGACGGACGTTTCCTCTTTAGGCGATAGTGCAATAGTTCGGTGTAGCTGCCTCAATGTCAGCATCACGTCAACAACATCACAAACCACTCGAGAGCCAGTTGCAACATTCAAGTTTGCTTCGTCACCTTATGCGACATGTGATTGAGTTCAGACACCTGCCACTTGCTACTGATAAGTCCGCCTCGAGAAGTCGACGTCCGCCGTGGCAACGGGCTACCACATGTCTTTGCGCTACGACATGGGCTGTCTACTGCTGCATTGTATGAGACATGGTTTGCACATCTTCCTGGGCCAATGCAATATGTCGGAGTATTGCGAAACTCTACAATATGTTGTGCGGGGTGCTAATTCGTTGCTCGTTCTCGCTATGTGAGTCGATTTGAGCAGCATCGACCCTCAATGTCACAGTCTTAGTGATGGAGTTGATCATCACGAAATTCTCGGACGACCCAAACGAGCGAGAACAATGACACTCCCTCTGGGTTCCTTCGTCAATCTCCTTCGATGCAATCTGACCCTGAAGATCAACGGCATATGGCCTGGTCTGTCTTTCCCCTCGTGAGCGTCCGGTATTTCGACACTCGTAAAATTGATTCCTCGACTCATCGACTGTTTTGAGCGATGGGATACAGAGACCAAGGAGATTTTGTCCGGTTGGTCCGCAAGTCCCAATGATGGCGAGAGCAGACTCGACGTTTGATAAAGTGTAGGACATGCCATATGTTGGGTCTTCAACGACTTCCTGGATGACGAATTTCTTTACGAGGACGCTTGTGCGCACAGCACCTACAACGGTGACAGCAATTCCAAATGAAAGGAACGCTATAACCATCAGCTTGCGGCCGAGTGGCATGCTGAGATCATGCAACATCCATGAAGGCATGATAAGGATGAGGACGTCTGTCGCGAGAACTATGGATGATGTGCTGACAGTATATGCTCCCGCGTGAACACAAGATCCAATAATGCGACGGTCCCAGTATTTGGCGATCGGATTGCATTGCATTATACAAGCAAGCGGCGCGCCAACGGCAAAACAAGCGTTCAGGCAGAGCATAGCCCACAGACAGTAGTTGATCCAGATATTCGGCGAGCGCAGCTTGATGAGCGTCAAGATGAACGATAACTTGACGAGCGCGAGTATGGGATTGTATATGATGGAGTTCGCATAGTTCCACTGACCCGATGCAAATTAGCAAGCATGACATATGGGTGGCAGCGGATGTGAATACCTTCATCATCAATATCGGATCGATGGCACCTTCTGGTATGTTCCAAACATGATAGCCATAAAAGGAGCTAATTATTTCTAACAGGATACCAACTATGGTCAGCGTTGCCAATAAAAAAGCGCAATAAACTTACATCCACATGTAGTGAAGGAGAGCACTAGGTTCAGAGCCTGTACCCACAGCTATCAGCTGACCGCTCCAGATGATTTCTAATATGAACGTACCGTTGCTATCACGAGCAGCGTATCCTCTGTCTGTGGGTCAGTCTACGGCAATTCGCCTCGATCCTGCGACGTACCTAGATCATACTTTTTACTCCGCCATCGAGTCCAGACGCGAAGAGCTACGACGAAGACGCACAGGACGCTAGGAACAGCGGCCATAACTAGACAGACGGGTTGCAATCCTCGGCTTGCCATTGTCTTGATAGACTTGCGCGAAAATTACACGCCATAAGTTGTGTTCTGGAGACTATCTCGGACTAAGTATCGATGCTGTGCCGTTCCTCCTGAAGTGTCTGGCACGGGATATGGTGTCCGGGCCGCCTGCCAACCTTCTACCGTGCTGCACACTTTGAAGCCAAGCTGCCGTAAACCAATCGGGAAGCCTCCTTGCCGAGCGGAGTCGTTGTTGAGACCGCGACGGGAAGGCAAAGGATCGCCCATCTGGATCTCTTGACGCGCTTGGAACTGAACAACATTCTCTCTGTTGGATGCCTTCTCAATTTTGCATCGTTCGGCCAAACGAATAAGAGATTAGACAAGCTGAGGGTACAACTCTCGACAAGAGTTCTGCCAGACTTCAATTGAGTCTGAGGGCAGGCATGGCAGCCAGTTGCCAAGCGTTGACTGCGCCGTAAGACCATCGGAAAAATAAAGCGACTATTTGGGAATACTTCCGATGCCTCACGCCCTCCCTCATCTACCCTCGCAAGCTCGACGAACCAACTTTGACACGATAACCATGGCTAGGGTGACATAGACGGGGACGCGTGTTGGCAATGTTCTGCAATTGGTCAGAGACCCGCTGAACCCGAGATAATGGTAACACTCAATACCAAGATAACCAGCTTGCCGGTGCGCGGCAATTTTTCATCATGCAATTGTACTGCAGCTCTGGGTGGGTCTGTAGCTGTGCCTCAATCAACACACCTGCCTACCCTGGCTGCATACATTGCTCCGCATGGGTGGCGTGTTAAGAGAATTGTTCATCCAGCAGGTGCACTCCTTTTCTCCTGTCGGTCCTTCTTGCACTCCGCCGCAGCAATTGTTTTTCCAATGTCTATCTGTGGAATACTGTTTGTTTTACTTTGCGGCGTTCGTGCCAATCCTATTGTTCCAGGAGATCTCGATTCTCCAATTGTACCAGCCGCTACCACCGTACCGACCGTATCTCCAGCAGGCGTGGACTTGTTCCCGTTCGAAGCAGTTCAATTCACAGAAGAAGTTCTTGAAAGAGCAAGCACACAATCCAATTCCGATGTCAATATCACTGGTCTGTTCGGCTTCGATGACAACACTGACATACATCTGGAACAACTAAGTGGAGCATGTAAAGTCTTCCCAGGGGATCAGAATTACCCCGATGCTTTGGTATGGTCAGAATTTGACCACTTGCTGGGCAATGCACTCATCGAGACTACACCAGTCGCTGCGCCATGTTACCAGAGCTCGGGCATGTACGACGCATTGAAATGTGCGGATATCTCAGCAAGATTCACCACTCCTGATCTTCAGTAGGTGACGCTTCTCCGCAATATGGAAATTCATTTAACATGGAGAATAGCACAAGCGATCCAACGTCCATGATGTGGCCTCTCTTCCAAGGACGTACATGCATGCCTACAAACAACCCCAATGGCACTTGCACGCTAGGCGGATATGCCTCTTACTCCATTAATGTCGGAAACGTGGCGCAGATTCAGCTCGGCGTCAACTTTGCACGCAATGCCAACTTGCGCCTCGCCATCAAGAACACGGGACATGACTACATTGGCAAGTCGAGCGGTGCGGGTGCACTGAACATTTGGATGCATAACCTCAAAGATATACAATTCGTGGAGAAATTTAGTAGCGATGAGTATATGGGCCCGGCATTCAAGACCGGAGCTGGTGTCCAGGGCTTTGAGATACTGGAGGCTGTCAAGGGACAACGATGTTACCATCCTTACTGGAATCTGCGAGGTGGGTCATACTTTACTTGAGACGAACTTCCACTGACGTTTATGTAGACGGTCGGGTTCACTGGAGGCTACCTCGCAGGCGGTGGTCATTCTCCTTTAGCCTCGATCTATGGCATGGCAGCTGACCAAGTCCTCGCTTTCGAAGTCGTCACCGCAGATGGCCGCTTCGTAACCGCATCCAACAGCATCAACCAAGACCTCTTTTGGGCCCTACGTGGCGGCGGCGGCTCAACATTTGGCATCGTCACCTCCGCCATCGTCAAAGCCCATCCTCGGATCCACGTCACAAAATCCGTCTTCTCTTTCCAAGCCGCCCCCGACAACTCAAGAAACTTCTGGAAAGCTCTACACGCCTATTTCAAGCGCTTCCCGCAGTTCACAAGCGCAGGCACATATTCGTACTTCTTTATCTGGAACTTTGGCACGTCGCTCGACTTCCGCATGGCCCCTTTCTTTGCGCCCAACCACACCCTCTCAGAATTCCACGCCCTAACGAAACCCTTCTTCGACGACCTCGCAGCCCTCAACATCTCCGTGACGCCCAACACAACCTTCCACGAGGACTTCTACTCCGCGAATAAAGACGCCTGGGGCGCGGACACTCTCGGCGTAACGTCCCTGCGGCAAGCCACGCGCCTATTCCCTAAAAGCCTGTGGGTGACAGATGAGAAATTCGAAGAGTTTTTCAGCACGATTAGGAACACGGTCATGTCGGGCCACACGGTACTGGGGTACCAGCCAAGCAACCCAGGGAACCCCGTTCAATGTCGACAACGCCGTGAATCCTGCGTGCGGAAACGCACAATCGTTCCCTCATCACTGCGAACACAGTGCCAGAAAACGCGTCGCCCGCACAACCTCAAGAACGCGAGCGACACGCTGACGTACGAGATCATGGCGCCGTGGCGTAAAGTCGCGCCGGCGAGCGAGGGCGGCGGCGTGTATTTGAACGAGGCGGATATCCAGGAACCACGTTGGCAGGAGGATTTCTACGGGGTGGAGAATTACCCCAGGTTGTTGGCGATCAAAAGAAGGTGGGATCCGCGGGATGTGTTTTATGCGACGACGGGGGTGGGGAGTGAGGCGTGGGAGGTGCGGGATGGGGAGATGGGGGTGCAGACGCAGAATGGGCGGTTGTGTCGTGTGTAAACGCTCATTGTTCAGAATTATAATTCATCTCTCGCCTGCTTGACTCCAAACGTCGCGCCTCCCTCCCTGATAAACTTCTTCTCCGCCTCCGTACTCACCCGACCCAACGCCCCGTTTCGATGCGGATACCTCCCGAACCGATCCAATATCTCCCGGTGTTCTTTCTCCGCCTTCAATTGCCCTGCGAGCATCATTTCCGACCCTTTACGCCCGGCCACATCGCTCTTCGCGTCTGCGAGTATCCCATCTACAAGCTTGTGCGCCTCAATGTCTTCCGAGTGCATCAGCGGCATGTACAGCCACATGCGATGCGCAATCGAGTGCCTAAACTGCGGACGCAGATCGACACGCTTATCAGGGGATAATAATGCCCGCGAGAGATTGTACGCCATGGGGTCGTAGTGCGTGTATACTTTGCGCAGGCCTTCATCCGTGCGATAGATATTCCGCGGCATTTGATCAAGTAGAATGGCTAGGCTCAGCGCCGTCCATGCCCCGTCGTCACCCGCACGCTCTATCTCATCGACGAACGGCTGCGCGCTGGGCTCGACGTTCTCGGGCCCAATGGCTTCGAGCGCGTGCGCGAAGGAGTCGCGGCATGTGCGATCTAAGGCGGGGTCTGATGAGAACCAGCGCTGAAGTAAGCTGGGGTCGAGTTCTGAGCCGGTGGAGTCGACGTTGGGGAGCCAGAGGTCTGTGAGTTGCGCGTACAGTGTAGCGTTGAAGATTGTTGGGTGAAGCTTGAAGGAGGACATGGCGCGGCGTTGGGGAACGTGGGATGATGCTGCGCGAACGGTGAGTCGAGATAGGCTGGTTAGTGAGGACATTAAGAAGAGGGTGCGGAGAGGCGCCATCTTAAAAGTGTGGTTGTTCACATGGTCTCAGATGCGGTGGGACGGTACCATATTTGTTTGTTGAAGAGCTTCGGCGCGTCGGAGACCGAGTGGTGATTGTGACTAAGCGTGCTGAAGAACTTCGGCGGCGGGTTGCAATCTCTCCGTCAAAAACTTATACTGCATTGTTGAAAAGTTCAATCACGGAATGCCACAGTGTGAAGTCGCGATCTGGAAGGCTGATGAAGTAGCTGTGGGTTGCTTCGATCTTCGTCCATTGGCGGCGCGTCGGGCTCTAAGGCATGCGTGGGGAAAGAACGACATCCACTCGCCTCTCCACTCGTCGCGATGACCAACTCACGTCGAAGATATTCACTTAAGAGGCATCGAATGAACAGCAAGTTGAGTAAGCCTCGCGGTACTTGAAAATGCGAGAAGAACCTACGAACCGTTAACTTGGCTCTTCCCCTCACCCTAGGATTCATTCGTCCGAGAATGTGGGGAAGGCCTGCGTACTCCAAGCACCGTGCGTCTGGCATCGCGAATAGCTACAATGGTGAATGCAAGCATATCTGTATTCTTTCCCTCTCTTAATTCTATTGTCAACCCGTCTTCGAATTTCAAGTCCGCTTTCCGTGTGTTTGCCCAACACCACTAAGCCCCACATGTACACCATCCTCCTACTATGCAGCTTCCTCACATCCTTCATTCTTTACACTCGCTACAAACGGCGTCCACCACCAGGAACACACCATGCACCTGGCCCGGCAGGTCTTCCTGTCCTCGGAAACGCTCACCAACTTGGTCTTCAACCACACCAGCAAATCACAGCCTGGGCCCGCGAATATGGCGAGCTGTACAAGATCAGGCTGGGCTGGAATGATTGGTACATGATCTGTTCGCCCGAAGCATGCAAAGAGATCCTCGACAAGCAGTCCGCGCACACGAGTTCTCGAACGCCTCAGCCTGTGGCGGGCGATACTTTGGCTGGGGGCATGAGGTTTTTGTTCATGCCGTATGGACCCGAGTGGAGGAAGTTGAGGGGCATCAGCCATAAGCTTTTGACGCCGAATGTTAGTGCGACGTTCAAGCCGAGTCAGGATTACGAGGCGAAGATGCTGCTGGAGGAGATCTTGAAGGGGAGGGATGAGGAGAGGGGGAATGAGGTTGGGTATATGGCGATTAGAAGGTATACTGTCAGTGTGATTATGACTAGCACGTATGGACGGAGGATCCCGGAATGGGTAAGTGATACTATCGTGTATGTATGCAGCTGAAGAAGACTAATACTTGGTAGGACTGCGATGAGGTTCGCGGTATATACAGTCTGATGAACGACTTCTCCCTCGTGGCAAAGCCAGGTGCATATCTTGCAGATGCCCTGCCATTCTTCGGCAAACTTCCACCAAGCCTTCAATGGTGGCGTAAAGGTCTCAAGCCACTCTTCGACAAGCAGGCGAATCTCTGGATGTCCTTCTGGAACGTCGCTCAAGACGCAAATGGAGACCAAGCAAGCACCCGAGTGCTTCGTGAAACAGTTCATCGAAACCGACTATGAGAAGCAGGGCATCAGCGAGCTTCAGGCTGCGTTCCTCGCAGGCAGTATGATTGAAGCCGGAAGCGAGACCACCTCTGCTGCTCTCAACACGGCGATTCTGTACCTCAGCGCCAACCCCGAAGCGCGACGAAAAGCTCAGGCCGAGCTAGACAAAGTCGTCGGATCATCTCGCTCTCCATCCTTTGACGACGAGCAAGATCTGCCATACATCCGCGCCATTGTCAAAGAGACACTTCGCATGCGACCCGTCACCAGCATCGGTACACCGCACTACTCCACCGCACCTGTAATCTACAAGAACACTTACATCCCCGCCAACTCGGTTGTGTGCCTGCAGCAATACCCCATTCACTACGATCCTAACGTCTTTCCCGAACCAGATTGCTTCAACCCCGATCGGTACCTGACCTATCCCCTGGGCTCAGGACACTACGCCGGCGGACCCGCATCAGCACGTGATCACTGGGCATTTGGTGCTGGGCGGCGAATCTGCTCTGGCGTGCATCTCGCTGAGAACAGCATGTTCATAGTGTTGGCGAAGTTACTGTGGGCGTTTGACATATTGCCGCCACTGGACGAAGCGGGGCGAGAAGTGAGGGTGGACACGAGTGATGCGGCCTTTGACTAAAGACGGAAGTATGACGTCGGCAAAGGAATACAAAGTCTCCATGGAGAGTTAGAAGTGGGGAGATCAAGGAGACG